TGGAACAAAGGAAACGTTTCCTTTTATTCTGTGATCATCAAATGTTTCAGTTTGACCTTTAAACTCATAAATCACGTGACTTTCTGCTAAATCCGTGTCTTCTCCCCTGCGTATCCCGGCGTCGCGCGCTCTCGGTGCTCCGTGCGCACTCACCTTCATGTAGCAGACCGAGATGAGCGCGAGCGGCAGCAGGTAACCGAACACGAAGGAGCACATGACGTAGACCCTCCGGTGCCGGTCCGGCCAGACCTCCCAGCAGAACGAGCTGTTGTCCTCCCGCTCCACCAGGTTCTGGTAGTGCGCCACCGGAGCCGCCATCCCCACGGACAGGATCCAGATCAGAACCACACCGAGCGTCGCGTGCCTCCCCACCCGGATCCAGGAGGCTTTCCGGGCATGCACGATGGCCACGTACCGGTCCACGGACATGGCGGACAGCGTGAAGATGCTGACCAGCATGGAGACGGTGAAGAAGAAGTGGATGAACTTACAGATGAAGGCTCCGAGGATCCAGGTGGGCAGCATGTAGATGGTGGACTGGAACGGGACGCAGAAGAGCAGGTAGGACAGGTCCGCCACGCTCAGGTTCAGGATGAAGATGTTGGTGGTGCTGCGGGTCTGACCCGGTTTGCTTCGGGCCACGACCGAGATCACCAAGGTGTTCCCCAGAACTCCCAGAATAAAGATGAGCCCAAAAACCAGCAGGGAGATGAAGTTATCCAGTCCGACCCCCAGGAGGAGTTTAGCAGAACCAACCAGCTGGTTCTGGTTCTGGTCCACCTGCTGCTCCATCCTGTCATGTTCCGGGTATCTCCTCTGGAAGAAGACCTCCTCCTTCAGGAAGATGGAGCCGCGGGAGCGAGCAGCGCGTGACCGAAACTCCAACAGGTCTCTGAGTCCAGAAGAACCGGGTCTACAGGTCCAGTCAGAACTTCCGGGATCAGCTTACGTTTTTGTTCTCGAGAAGTTAGTTTTTGTTGACGTCATAATATAAAACTGAGAAATGAAAAAATATGACGTTATCAAATGTAATCAGATTACTTAGAACCTCCACAGACTCCAACTAAAGAAAAATGTAATTATTAAAAGTAAAAATCTGATTTTTCTTCCAGGTGATGATGATGATGATGAAGATGATGATGAAGATGATGATAATGATGATGATGACGATGATGATGATGATGATGATGATGAAGATGATGATGAAGATGATGATAATGATGATGAAGATGATGATAATGATGATGATGATGATGACGATGATGATGATGATGATGATGACGATGATGATGATGATGATGAAGATGATGAAAATGATGGTGGTGATGATTATGATGATGATGACGATGATGATGGTGAAGATGGTGATGATGTTGATGATGATGAAGATGTGTAGATGAAGATGTGATGAAGATGGTGATGATGATGAAGATGGTGATGATGAAGATGGTAATGATGATGATGATGAAAATGGTGATGATGATGATGATGACGATGATGATGATGACGATGATGATGATGAAGATGAAGATGATGAAAATGATGGTGGTGATGATTATGATGATGATGACGATGATGATGTTGATGAAGATGGTGATGATGATGATGATGAAAATGGTGATGATGATGATGATGATGATGACGATGATGATGATGACGATGATGATGATGAAGATGATGAAAATGATGGTGGTGATGATTATGATGATGATGATGATGAAAATGGTGATGATGATGATGATGACGATGATGATGATGATGATGAAGATGATGAAAATGATGGTGGTGATGATTATGATGATGATGACGATGATGATGGTGAAGATGGTGATGATGTTGATGATGATGAAGATGTGAAGATGAAGATGTGATGAAGATGGTGATGATGATGAAGATGGTGATGATGAAGATGGTAATGATGATGATGATGAAAATGGTGATGATGATGATGATGACGATGATGATGATGACAATGATGATGTTGATGAAGATGGTGATGATGATGATGATGAAAATGGTGATGATGATGATGATGACGATGATGATGATGACGATGATGATGATGAAGATGATGAAAATGATGGTGGTGATGATTATGATGATGATGATGATGAAAATGGTGATGATGATGATGATGACGATGATGATGATGATGATGAAGATGATGAAAATGATGGTGGTGATGATTATGATGATGATGACGATGATGATGGTGAAGATGGTGATGATGTTGATGATGATGAAGATGTGAAGATGAAGATGTGATGAAGATGGTGATGATGATGAAGATGGTGATGATGAAGATGGTAATGATGATGATGATGAAAATGGTGATGATGATGATGATGACGATGATGATGATGACGATGATGATGATGAAGATGAAGATGATGAAAATGATGGTGGTGATGATTATGATGATGATGACAATGATGATGTTGATGAAGATGGTGATGATGATGATGATGATGAAAATGGTGATGATGATGATGATGATGATGACGATGATGATGATGACGATGATGATGATGAAGATGAAGATGATGAAAATGATGGTGGTGATGATTATGATTATGATGATGATGATGATGATGATGAAAATGGTGATGATGATGATGATGATGATGACGATGATGATGATGATGATGACGATGATGATGATGATGTTGATGAAGATGATGATGATGATGATGAAAATGATGATGTTGATGAAGATGATGATGGTGAAGATGGTGATGATGATGATGATGAAAATGGTGATGATGATGATGATGATGATGACGATGATGATGATGACGATGATGAAGATGAAGATGATGAAAATGATGGTGGTGATGATTATGATGATGATGATGATGATGTTGATGAAGATGATGATGCTGATGATGTTGATGATGATGAAGATGTGAAGATGAAGATGTGATGAAGATGGTGATGATGATGGAGATGATGAAGATGGTAATGATGATGATGATGAAAATGGTGATGATCATGGTGATGATGATGATGATGATGGTGATGATGGAGCCATTAACAAGGTAGGTGGTGATGATGATGAAGATGACAGTGAAGATGATGAAGCCATTAATGATGAAGGTGGTGATGATGAAGGTGATGGAGCCGTTAACGATGAAGATGACAATGATGGTGATGATGATGAAGATGATGGAGCCATTAACGATGAAGGTGATGATGATGATTAAACTGTTTTGAACCTGCTGCTCCTCTCAGCTGTTTATCTGTGTAACTGATGTCAGACCTGTGTTTTCCATGTTTCCATGGCAACAACATCCAGCCTGATAATCATCCATGACTCTGCTGATAAACATCAGTGAGCTGACACGGCGCTGCTCTCTTCTTCTCCCTGAAGCTCATTTCTCATCTTCTTGTCGTTGAGCCGCCGCTCGGATCAGGAACATCTTATCTCCAGACACATCCGTTCGTTCCATCATCCCGTTTTGGTCTGCTCCGTAAACAACCGATTACAGGTGTCATAAAGACATCCCAAAGCTTTCAGGTGGTCCTTATGATCCGGGTGAGTAGGACCGGCCGTGTCCGTGTTTACTCAGAGAATCATAAATCAGAGGCTGGAGGCTTTTTATTGACCCGCTTCAGGATGCAGGAACAACCCGACTGGAAAAGCAGAACCAAAGTTGTTCCTGAACACCTCAGTGTTTGTCCAGACTCCGCCTCCACCAGGGGGCAGTGTGGAGACGTGCTTCCTCCTGATCTGGAGTCAGACACGAGGAGGACAGGATGTTCAGCTTTGTTTAGGGATCAAGTCTGGGCTAAAACAAGGATGTTGGGAAAATAAAAGGAAAAGAGGAGTTGGATCTCGGATGTTTAGTTTTCTGTGGTTTCGTTCGGTTTCACGTAGCACAGATGGTTCTGGTCAGGATGCAGTCTGGGACTCCACGTTTGGACCCAAACCAGATAGTTCTGCAGAGCTTCGGGCTGAGAAGTCTGAGACCAGGATCAGGTGTTGGGAGTCATCGGGACGCGGCTGCAGGAAGTTTTAGAACACATAAATATCTTATTTATTCATATTTTTATCCTTTAGTCCCAAAACTGATCCAGATGATTTATTTAAACCCAAATATCTGGTTTCTGATCTGTTTTATGGGATTATCAAAGAAAGAAGCTAAAATACTGCTTTCAGGTGATTATTCCAGAACTCACCGGGCGTTCATTCACCTGAACAGAACAACTCATTTAAGGAAGTTAGAATGAGGACAGCGTTCCGATCTGAGGAGGATCGGTTCTGTCCGATCACAATCCGGATTGGAGGCTCGTTTCTGCCGTTTAAAAACTTCCAATTTCATTTTATTCTCGTTTCTGTTTTTGTTTCACGTTTTATTTATAAAATAAAACTGATGGAATTTTTGCAGGAATTGAAAACTGTTCCCGACACTGGGATTATTCCTCCTTTTACTGTTGTGTGTTTTTTGGGACATTTTCTGTTTCCCTCTTGCCGTACGGTCGCAGCAGAAGCAGCTTCGGGTTGTCGGTCTGAAACCAGAGAGGTCGTTGAGAGGGAAAACAAATCAGCTCTTTATTCTCGGAGCGGCTGCAGCCGCCTGTTGATGGAATCACTGAACTCCGACCGCTCGGACATTTGCATCAACTTGTTTACGAGCCAAGGCGCGGACACGCCGACAGCTCCAGAGGCACACCTGGTCTCTGATCTTTTATTTTAGCTCCTGACTGATTAAATAAACATTTCTAAACTCGTGTTTCCTGTTTGCTTCTTTACTCTAAATTCATAATTTTTGTTCTGGTTTAATCCAGAAACATCCATCTAAACGTTTACATCCAGATGATAAAAGAAACAAATCTACAAGTTTTACATCTAATGTTCGTATAAAACACGGAAATTTGCTACTTAGAAAACGTAGAAATGGGACTTTATGAGAAAAACTTCTGTAAGACACAACCAAATGTCCTTGTGTGACCCGGAAGTCTCCAACGGGATTTTTTGTTTCAGATTAAATGTATTAATCTTAATTTTTTTAGTGACAGGAAATCAAAACCAAACAAAAAAATCCTTTAAAACCTGAATTTGTAAACGCTCAACGTGCAGCCTCAGAGGGCTTTAACTATCAAAGACTAAAACAGGGATCCCGGACAAGCCCCCAACAGTTTTGATTTGTCACTACAGCAAAAGGAAGACGTGCAGAGTAAAGGTGAATGAATCAAAGCTAACCAGTTGAACTGAAGTTTATGTTGAGAGATGTGATCAGTGATAAAACTAAACTCAGGTGCTGGTGAAGGTTAGTGTGGCGTTTAAGGACTGTGGGATAAAAGCCTGATGGGAGTTAGACACAAAGCAGGTGGAAGAAGACTTTCATGTACCTGTATGATGACAGAGTGACATCATCACCTGGTTTCTGTAGAAAAACAGTCAATCGGATCAGAACCAGTTCAGTCATGGCCAGTCCAACTTTCTGTGATAACTCGGAATGGTGTTTCTACTGGGAAGTTGACCTCATCATAGGGAGCCTAAGTCACTTCCGGACCACGGATCCCTGGAAGAACGAAAACATGAATGCAAGTCAACGGGGCTAAAAACACTATTTTCTAATCCGCTTGTTTTGTTCCATGGATTTCACACACGATGTCTGAGTTTTAAGACACATTTTGATTCCAAGTACGCGTTTATTTTCAAACGGGGGGACGATATTTTAGGGTTTTGTGTGAAAATAAGTCCTTGCACTCATGAGCCGACTGCAAAGGGAGGAGACTTGGACTCCCTATAGGGCTCCTGAAGGGGCGGAGCTACTTCACCTGGTTGTTCTAAACCCTTTGATGTAAATCAAACATGTCGGATCTGTTCCTTATGAAGCCGAACTCTGATGGATTTAGCAGCAGATGAAAGACAAACAGATACTTCCGCTGCATTTATCAGGTAATCCTAACTAATTTGGGTACGATGTGACCTGAAGAAGCTGGTGCTGGATTATCTCGAACTTCTGTTTGTAAAGGTTACAGAAGTCATAAAAACGAAAGAGCTGGTCTGACTGGACGCATCTGAACACAGAAGCTTCTTTCTTTCTTCCTGGGTGGGAGTTCTGGTCCAGATTCCTGCTGCGGGTCCAGGATGTCTCCCGTGTTTGTGTCCCACAGATCCCTGATATGACCACCATTGTTTCCCCACCGCTCCACTCAGGCCTCCGGCTCCAGAAACAAGCCCAGGACTCTTCTGGACTCCAGGGCCCGTGATGTGGTGGGCCCACTCGCTGCATTCCTGCAGCTTAGCTCCAGCCGTGGGTGCGGTTCTGATCCGGTTCTGCAGGACAAACAGATGCAGCTCTGTGGACCACAGAACCCGGCGGCCATGTTGGATCAACTAGCCCATCAAGGCGTGTTTGACCCAGAAGTCAGAACTCTGGTGTCTTTTACTTTATTTATGACTTTAGAATGTAAACGAAGAAAAAGAAGTTATTAAAAACACGCTCAGCTCTGAGGAGTCTGTAAATAATAACAATTATTATTATTATTATTATTATTATTATTATTATTTTAGCAAATGTTAACAACATCACACACACATATATATATATATATACATACATACATATTATATATACGTATATATATATATACATACATATTATATATATAAAATATGTATGTATATATACATATTATATATACATATATATAATATGTATATATTATATATATTATATGTATTAAATACATACATATTATATATGTATGTATATTTATACATATCTATACACACACATATATATGCATACATATATATCTATACACATATATATACATATGTATACACACACACATATATACATATATATATATACATATATATATACATATATATGCATACATATATATATATACATATATATACATATACATATATATATATATACATATATATATATATACATATATATATATATATATATATGCATACATATATATCTATACACATATATATACATATGTATACACACACACATATATACATATATATACATATATATGCATACATATATATATACATATATATATACATATACATATATATATATATATATATATATATATATATATATATATACATATATATATATATATACATATATATATATATATAAAACCAACATACATATATATATATACATATATATATATATATATATATATATATATATATATATATATATATATATAATACATTGAACTTATATAGCGCTTTTCAAGACACCCAAAGACGCTTTCACACACTCTCACATTCACACACTGCTAGTGATGGTAAGCTACTTGTAGCCACAGCCACCCTGGGGAGGTCTGACAGAGGAGAGGCTGCCATTTGGCGCCGTCGGCCCCTCTGACCACCACTAACACACGTATATTACATATGTATATTATATATGAGGGAGATATATTTTAGACATGAACAGGAGGAAGTAAATGTATTCATGCTAACTAGTTTCTCTTCACATGTTGCCGTTTCACCCAAATCTCACGTTTGTCTTTAATCTAAATTCATTTACTTGTTTATTAAATTCTTTTTACTCTTAGACTCAAAATTAGAAGCAGCCGAAACAAAAAGCATCTGTTGTAGAATATTAATATTCTGATGATGCGCGGGACGGTTCTAACCCAACAGAACCTGCTTTGTTCTGAAGCTGAGATCCGTCCTGGGCAACGATGCATTCAATGTCCACTAAATCTGAAGGATCTGGCACCGTCTCCAGCTCAGCCTCCATGTTTTATCGCACGGAGACTCTGATGGTTTTATTTAAACAGGAAGAATGAAATCTGTCCATGCTAACTAGCATTTAGCTGCTTTTGTTTGCAGCCTCGCCAGACACCCTGCTGGAAAAACCAGCATATGTCGAGTTCTGGTGCTGGTTCTTCTGGTGGACCAGCACCAGAACTCGACATATGCTGGTTTTTCCAGCAGGGAATCCTTTCCTGGTGTCTTATGTTTCTGTGTTTACTGCAGAAAACTGAAGCTATGGTTCTGGAGAGCCACCATGTTTCTGCTCCAGCATGAAGGTTCTACAGAAGCCAGAAAATTACCGGCTGCATCAGAGGAACATCTACAGCACACGGGACTGGAGGCGCTGGTCCAGAAGCAACGCAGCACCAGGAGACGCCCTGAGAGCGAGGCTACGTCAGGGTCGACTCCTGGAAGAGGGATGGGGTCTGAAGCCGTACACAAAGATGGGTTTACGTTGGCCCATCAGCTCCTTCTCACTGGGTTTGGACACAATCATCTCAGTCAGAGCCATTGTAGGTCCAGTTTGGACCCAACACATCACTGAGATGTCAGGGCGGTCCAACAAAAGCGTCTCAGTTCCGGGAGCTGCTCCGCATCAGGCCGAGAGGTCAGAGATAACCTTTGTCCCCCCGATGGGAAGAGGAACAATGGCCGAGCGGCAGCGACTGACACAGCAATGCCTGGAACCGAGCCAGAACCACGACCTCACCAACACACACACACACACACACACACTCCTCCTGTCCCATGGTGCCCTGGGGGGGCCGATACCTTCAGGGACGGCCCCCTGAGCGCCAGACGGGCCGGACTTCACCCTGAAGGAGCGGTGGTTCTGGGAGTGGGCACTGTGGGCTCTGGAGCGGCGTGGAGCAGGACTAAACCCAGCAGACGGGTCAGAACCGAACCTCAGCAGCTATCATGGCCACAGCGAGCACCTCCGGGCAGAGCGGCTTCGGCAGGAAGAAGAAGAACCCGGGTCTGATGGACCAGATTAGCAAATTCTTCGGAGGAGAGAAGAAGAAGAGGAGCAAAGTGAGTGGGGGGGTCCTTTTATCTACCTCCTTCCTCGGAATTCCAAAGCTTTTCCCGAGCTTCTTTATGGGATGTGTGAAGGAGACTCAGATGGGTGAAAGCAAAAGGGAATAAAAATATTCCTCAAAAATAACTTTTTGATTTTGAGATTAAAGCGACATACATTAATCTGAGATCAGCTGCAGATTACAAACCTCAGGGAACGTTGTTTCATCCCGGTGTTCTGAGGCGGTGCAGAAAAAACGAGTTAGAAATGAGTTTGTGCTCCGATCTGTAACAAAAACACTAAATCAGCATCCCTCTGGATGAAGACGAGATTAAAACCTTGTTCTGGAGGCCTCAGGGACGCAGAATAAGGAGCCAATTAGGATTTAATCCTGCAGGATTACCTCTAAAGGCTGGCTTTATTCTCTCAGACTGAACTAGAACTATTTTCCTGACGTGCTGGGATTAGACGTCTCTGGAACCAGCTGTTGAGTCTTACATTTATTCTGCTGGATGTTGTGTTGATTTTGTCTCTAATCTGATCTCCAGGGGTCGTTCAGAGGTCACCACGCCACCTCGCCCCAACAGTCCTCCGCTCGCCGTCGGACCAACGAGAACGCCGTGGTTCATTTCTTCAGGAGCCTTGTGAGTGTCACGGATCAGATGCTTTATTTAATCCATCTGAGATGTTTGCCGCTCCAGAGCGGAGAGAATTCCTTGTTTCCTGGAAAATCCGTGGAACTTTTCCCTTCATTTACGACCTGATTCAAAAACAAATAACATGGCAGCAGCAGCTCTGGTGTTCCTACGGCGGCGTGATGAGCCGAATCGGGATGGAAGAACATTCCGATCATTCTCAGGAATGCTCGGATTAGTTCCACGTGAATGCATGACGTTAAAATCTGATGTTAAAAGTCAGAAATTTGTTTTTTATTGTGACGTTTTGTCCCTCAAGCACAGAGATGCTGGACCCGCATGAGTGTGACGAACGTCCACATGTATGCAGATGATGCGCTCTTCTACGAGAGCCACGAAGCAAAAACGTTGATGGTCCCTTTGGATTAAAGCATCTAATGAATAAAGACACGGGGGTCCCTGAACGCACCATGTTCTCCCTTTGCTCCCAGGTTTTGGTTTTCACGAACTTACAAACTGCTTTACTTTCTTTTTCTCTACGGAAACCCATTTGTTATAATCATGAATTATTTCAAACGTTATAAAACATAATTGTGACTTTTAAATTTAATTATGAAACACAAAATGGGCTTCAAGGCTTCCATCACTAAAGTACATTTGAGTTTTAAATGTTAACCAAAGAAATCCAGAAATGTTCCCACAAATTTATGACTTCAACTTCAGAGAACAAACCTCATGCGGATACTTGATTTGTCCCTAAAAGGCCGCCGTAGTTTGGACTCGGAGCTGGTTGTTGTGTTTGTGTGCGATCCATCAGTCACCCTGTTGTTGTGGTTCTTCTCAGGTTTCCTCTCCTCCTCCCAAATCCACGGTGAGTCTGACTGACTTTGGTATCTTTACATTTTTTTGTATGAAAACAGAACTTTTTAAACTTTGGTGCCATCTAGTGGCAGCACGAGGAGCTGCAGCTGGTAGCAGCAGGAGGGTCATCCTGATTATAATTAATTATAATTAATAAACAGCTGTTGACCCACAGGAACGTGCTGAGGCTCACGCCATTCGTCATCTACAATAAAAGAAACTTTCAGACGTAAATATGACATAAAATAAGTTCCTTGTAAATGTTAACGGTGATATTTATTGAAATCTCATGATTTAAGGTTTTTGAATTCATTTGGGATTTTATAAATGATAATCAGAGAAAACCAGACAAAGCAAAAGCACCAGAACCACCTTATGGTGGCCACCATAGATATGTGTGTTTTTATGCATATCTATGGTGGGGACAACAAACTAATGCTGAATGACAGACAGCAGCTCCCTCTAGTGGTCCGCACTGGAAGTTCAGACCCGCCGTTCTGGCTAAGGTGTTGCAATTAATCTAGTTTGTGTTTCAATTTCATGTCATGCTTTTATTTTGTTGTGACTTCACCTCTTCGCCTCGCTCTGAGGGCAGAATGAGGGCAAAACACATGCCCTTTGGGGGTGTCGACCGTAGGTTTCAGTCGGAATTATTTTGTGGTGTTTTAAACCAAATAACTACATAAATAAGATGGACAACCTTCTGTGCCGTCGCTCGTAAGTTTGTGAAAAACTGAACTGAGGCACAGCGGACAGTTCTCACCACTGCCATCTTCCCATCACATGTCTCATCACTCCCAGGAAAGCCAAAAATGGAGCTGAGGGTGGAGCTGTGAGGCTGAGGGCAGATGATTGACACCAATCAAACTCTGAGTGAATATAGCGAGGAGCTAGCCAACGCTAACGGAGGTCGGAAGGCTTTTTTAGCCAAAAAACTGCGGTTGAGTGACTCTGCTACCCTCTGCCTTCTAGGCTTTTGGCTGAGACCTATCCTGGAGTAAACGAGGGATAGCCGATAGCTGCTAGCGCTGACAGTCTCTCTAAAGGACACGCCCATGGGTATTCTAAACAGTAGCCTAGGAATCTAGACCAAGCGTAACCAAAGATTTAGCTCCACAAATCGATCCAACCGAGCTCCATCATGGCCTCTGTAGGTCTGCCATTGGCCTGATCTGTTCTGTGTCTGGCCAATCACAAAGCTCTATATTTATTGGGCGGGCTCTGCAACACAGAAAAACTACAAAGATGGGGTCAGCTCAGGAACGGCGCTCATTTGAAACTGCTTTGGCATCGACTTTAGACCATTTAGACGAGGTTTTCTCTGAGTCAAGAGCAGGTAAAGGCATTTGCTTCTTCTTCTATGGTGGACTATGGTGAGTATGCAGCACCTGTTGCTCTGATTGGTCCTCACACTGTCTGATTGTGTTCAGAGACAGTTTGAGGTGGTTTCGATGGCTGCTGGCCAGACGACACATTTACGGGAACACGATGGTTTTCCCAAACAGACGAGTTACAAAGAAGAGAGAAGAATTGCTTTTAGTTCCGTTTCCTGTTGAAGCTGAGCGAGATGTTTGGTCGAGTCCCTTCGACTGAGACAAATGAGGATCTGAACTCATTAGGTCCTACAGTGCCCCCTGGTGGAGGAGCTACAGGCGGCAGGGGCCGTTTTATTTATTTATTTATTTATTACTCCTAAATGACAAAAACAAAACAACAGGTGGATCTGTGGGAACCCTCCAGATGAAAGAGGAGGTCCCAGCTGGGTGGAGAACCCACAGCGAGCTCCTGTTGGACTCTGGCGCTGCGTACACACACACACACACACACACACACACACACACACACACACACACACACACCGGTGTGGTGAAAACGGTCCTCCCGTGCGACCCCTGCAGCGGTGGTTCGACCCCCACGCGGGGAGGCGTTGGGTCCCATTTGGTTTGACCCGAGCGGGGTTTGAACCCCCATCTCCCGGGGCCACTAGACCACTGAGCTGCTGCTCTGCTGACAGATGGGAAGAAAGTTCTGGGTTGATTGATGCTGGTGGTTCTGATCCGATCGCCTCCTGCTTTCTGACGAGTTGCTCTGGTTTTTTTTTCATGTCCAGTGGAGAGAAGCCCTGGGTTTGGTACGTCACCCCACCGCCATCCCACTTCCTGTCTCTGTCCTCCTAACCTCCGCTCTCCTCTAAAGATCTGTTCCACCTGCAGCAGGAGTTTAGCTCCTCCCACTGCTCACCTGGACTCACTGAAACGTTTCAGGTGTAATTAACTCCTCCTTCTGCCCCAGAGCCACTCGCTGCTTCTGGATGACTTTGAAATTGCTCGGCTCTTTATGAAGCGGTAAACACCTTCTCCTGCAGGACCCTCTCCTCCTCCTCCTGCTCCTCCTCCCCTGTAACACCTCCATCTCCTTTCTGACAGAAACAAGTCTTTAGGGTCATCTCACTCCAGTCCTGTTCACCTGCTGCTCCTTGTGGACCTCCTCTTGAGTAATGACCTCCTTCCTGTTTTCCTCCGCTAACGTTCCTGAGGACCTCCTCTCGCCGTAACCACCAGCTGATGTTTTTCTCCTCCTCAGAGTGAATCCATGAGGAGTTCCTACAGGTTCCCCGACCAGAACAGAACCCGGGTCTGGTTTCTAGTCTAGGAAGTAAATCTACCAGAACCAAACCCAACTGAGACCAGGACTCTTGGAAACATTTAACTAAAGCTCTATTTAATCTTCAATGAGTCCAAAAACAAGTTCTAACAGAACCGGGTCAGAAGAGGTTCTGAATTTCTCACTTTTACAGGAGAAATAGTCTCAAAAAGAAATCAAGCATCTGATTGAAGGTCAGAGGAAACAAACTAGGGCCCGGTTCTGTAACTGGTCCCATGTTCTGGTTCTGATCCTCAGTACCAGGTCCGGGTCCAGGATGTGGTTGGTTCTGATGTAACGTTTGCTTCTAGGCGTCCTCGGCGCGTCCTGAGAGCACGAAGTCGCCGGTCCGGAGGCGGAGAGAACAAAGCACGCTGTCCAGACTCTTCAACCTGGTGAGCCCAACGCCCATTTCCTGTCCTGTTTGATCCCGACCTCTGACCACTTCCTGTGAACAGAATTCTATTTCCTGTTTGTGTTCGAACGGAGCAGTGACGCTGCCGGCAGCGATCAGTGAGTAACTGACACGATCGATCAGACTTTAGTTCATCAGAGCTTCCGATCATCATAATCGACTAACCTGAAGGCAACGTAAACCATCTTACCTCCAAGGTTCTGGTTCCAGACCGGGTCGCCAGCACCGGGCCCACTTTCTGACAATCAGCTGTTTTAACTGAACATGGGAGCAGCTGACAGCTGGACACATCCTCACCCTTCCTCTGGTTCTCCTCCACAGGGAGACGCCAAGCCCCGCCCACCTCCTAAACGCTGGAGCACCATCTTCTAGGCTCTCCGCCGAGGACCAGACCTCGAACCGGAACTCGGACCCAACGGGACCGGAGGGAGAACGAGGAGGAGACACAGATCTGCCTCCTCCTCCTCCAGAGGAGTTAACCCACTAACCAGAAGCTCCTGAAGCTCAGACATCGGATCAGAACCGCTCTGCAGGACCTTCTTCTCTAATCCGCCTGTCTGATGTTGCTCCTGTCTGCCTGTCTGTCTGCCTGCCTGTCTGCCTGTCTGCCTGTCTGTCTGCCTGCCTGTCTGCCTGTCTGTCTGCCTGTCTGCCTGCCTGTCTGCCTGTCTGCCTGTCTGTCTGCCTGTCTGCCTGTCTGTCTGTCTGTCTGTCTGCCTGTCTGTCTGTCTGCCTGTCTGTCTGTCTGCCTGTCTGTCTGTCTGCCTGTCTGTCTGCCTGTCTGCCTGTCTGTCTGCCTGTCTGTCTGCCTGCCTGTCTGTCTGTCTGCCTGCCTGCCTGTCTGTGACTGACGCATCGTGGGTCGTGCTCGGAGCTAAACGTTGCTTCCATGGGACTTTGGGTTTGTGTGATTTTCTTTGGGCCCTTTTAGAAGCACTAAACCAGAACTTCCTGTTTGTTTGTTTGTTTGTTTGTTTGATGACATCATACCAGGTTTGTTTCAGCTGATGGTTTCACCGTAAGTGTTGTAAAGGTTTTGGGTAGAAGCCGAGAGGCGGAGCGAGGAGAACCGAGGCGTTCGGACTGCATGTTGGACTCTGTTGTTATTTACTCTTTAACTCAGATGTTGTGTAAATATATTTATCTGAGTCGGACTTCGGTTTGAAATGTGAATCTTAACCGATAATAAACGCCTTCAGTCTTCGACTCATTAAGGTCATTAAAGGGCTCGGCGGCGGCGCTTTTACGTGGAGTAAACCATGTTGTGTTGTGTCATCACGCTGTCGTTTGACTTTGTAACCAATCAGGAGAACAAATAAAGTTTTATCCAACAAAAGTCTCAAGCGCTGGACTTCTGTCCCAAAATAAAGAACTGGTTCAAAGAATGAAATCTTCTGAATCAGTTCGGACCTGCGTATCCATGGAAACGGAACTAAACCAAACAAGGAGCCAAAGAGGTGTTCAGACGGTTTGGGCTTGCTTTTAGCACCCCCTAGTGTCCCCCCGTGGTAACTCCTTAATCTAACAGCTGAAACGTTTCCCCAGCCTTCCTTAGTGCCTACGAGCAATCATCCCTAAACAAACTCAGCAGCTGCGTTCCTGCAGAGCCAGGCATGTCAGCGTCACTTTACTAAGTCCAACAGGAAGCAGACGGACACTCTGAAGCTGCAAGTGTGACATCGGGCCACAGAGGGTGGTGAGGTCTGAAGGTTCTCTGAGACATGCTGGCTCAGGAAATGATTTAAAGTGTGAAAAAGTTAAATGGTCTCACCCATCTCGACTCGCGATGGAGAAGGATGTTGTTTTAGCGTCCAGGAACAGCAGGGAACGTCTCGACTACTAGAAGCTAACCGTTAGCATTAGCAACTCCGCTACACAGCAGGACAGCAGGCAGCGGTAGAGTCGAGTTGCGGTCGTCCAATCCGAATCAGTCTGGAAATCATGGATAATAAGGAGTAAGATTTGAAATCTTGTCATTTTCTGTCTCACACTAAACCTTCTAACTCCCACTTCCTGATCCAGAAGCGCCAGAGCTCTTACTCCCAAGAGCATACCTCGGCGGTCACTGGTTGTACTAGAGACCACAGCAGATAGAATGAGTGAATGAGAGCTTTAAAGACCTGAGCACAACTTTTTATGTCCACCGGAGAACTCTCGCCCTGCAGCAAGGCAGTAACGTGTTCTCTTGCCTCTAGATGTTGGGTGAGGGGGGGGGGGGGCTGCAGGGAGAGGCTGACGTCCAGAAAAGCTATTCAGCTGATCCATTCTGTGGTCCTCCTGCTGGTGACTCGTCCTCAGGGCGGAGCTAGCTGGTGCTGCTCCTGCAGCTGGGGGGTGGGGGGTGCACCCTCTCTCTGCTGGATGGGGCTCCGGATGCGCGGACATAAATACAGGACAATAATATCATATTTACAGAAAACAAACAGTAGAAATGTTCTACTTGTGAGCAACAATCCCCCAAACCATGAAGGCACTTCTTCAGGAAGACCTGTCCAAGATGGCGGCTGAACCTATCCTGATCCAGACGAGCTCCGGCCCTTTAAAAGGATCAGACACCTAACGGAAGAGTTTTAATAAATACTTTATTGACTAAATCAAGACATTTTATTGTGGCGAGGACAATTTGTGCAAAGTGCCGACGGTCTTTATTTACTAAAGTGTGTTTGTGGTCAGCTGACTGACGCTTCCTCTCTGGGGGCGGGGCCACACGGCTGCAGATTCAAGCCTTCTGATTAAACTCCAGGACTTTTCTCCTTTTTAAACTTGAGATTATAAATGATAAATAAAGCTGTTTACACTCCTAGAACATCTTAAATGACTTTTAAATAGCGACTAATCACAAGAGCAAGGAGCCATTTTAAAAAGGTTAACAGTAAAAAGCAGCGGGGTCTTGGCCGATGTCCGGGCACGGCGGCGCTCTAATGGCAGCATGATGGTTTGGTTCCTGCCAGCTAAGAACGTAGCACGAAGGCGTTGTTGTGGAGAAACGTTCACGCGGGCCGCTTCAGCGTTGGTGTTGTAGCCCCCATGACACGTCGGAACTACGGAAGCCCGGGGGGGGGGGGGGGGGGGGGGGGGTCGGACTTTCCAGAGATGAAATGTTCATAACGGAAGATCTGACGTGGTGGATAAAAGGTCCGAGGGCCCAGCCGTCAGAAGCTCAGAACCCACTTTAGCTCCCACTGAAGCTCTCCGCTGCCTCCTCTTTAAAAACCTGACCCAGGTTCTGGGACTCGGTGCCTACAAGGTCCAGCAGCCCCCCCACGGCCCTGTGGAGGTCCCCCTCCTCCACCTTCACCTGTCCCAACGGGACGTCGAACCCGTAAGGCGGCGCCGGCCCGGTGCTGGAGGCGAGCCTCTCACAGCGGGCCTGGTGTCGCAGGAAGCTGTCCCTCCAGATCACCTTCTTCCCACACAGGCTGCACTCGTAGGGCCGCAGCCCGCCGTGCGTCTTCAGGTGCTTCGTCAGGTGGTGCTTCATCTTGAAGGACTTGGTGCAGACGGGACAGCCGAAGGGACGCAGGTTCAGGTGCTGCATCTTCACGTGGCGGTCCCGCATGCTCTTCAGCGTGTAGGCCTTGCCACAGTGGCAGAAGTGGACCTTACCTGAGTAGGCGGAGCCAGAGAGGGGCGCCGAGGAGGAGGAGGAGGACGGCGTAGGAGGTGATGGAGGAGGGGGAAACGCCGCGGACGACGGGGAGACGTGATGGGTAGAGGTGGGAGTCCCGCTCTGACCCCCGCTGCTGGAAGTCCAGTTCACCTCTGACCCCCCCAGGCTGAAGCCAGGAGACACCAGAGGTCTCTGGGAAACCGGTTCCGACCCGTCCTCCGTCTCACCCAGCGAGTGTCTGCTGTAGGAGCCGTCTGGGAAACACCTCAAGTCCACACTGTCCTCCTCGTCTTCCTCGTCCCTCCCCGGAGGTCGCTGCTGCGTCTGAGACCAGGAGCCGCTCTGCCACGGAGATCTTCCCGAAACCGGACCTGACGGTCCTTCAGCTGGTCCACAGTCCTCGCTTCCTGCAGCGTCCCGCTGGACTTTGTCCTTCATCACCTCCACGGTCTCCCTCACGGTGAGGCGTCCCGATTCCTCCAGTTCGGCCGGAACCGGGTCCAAGTCTGACGGGAACAAAAGAACAAACAGATAAACGGGCCAGCAGCTGGCCGGGATCAGACCGGAGCTCGTTTGGGTCGGTTCTGGATCAGCTGGCCTCTAGAACGACCCGTCGGGATTGCTCTCTGGGAGCCGACCTTCTGGACGGCTCTGACTCTGGAGCGGTGGCCGGGTTCTGGTTTACTCCAGAGCCTCGGGTCTGAGGCAGAACCAGAACCTTGGGTGAAGTGTTACCTGTGTGAGTGAAGCCGTCCCTCCTCTCCTCCTCCTCCCCGACTCCTTCATCAGCCTCCGCTCCTCTCCTCTCCGTCCTCCGCCTGTCCAGAGTGTCTTCGCCGTCTCTCGTCCTACCGTGTTCTCTCTCGGCGCTCAGCGGCGCCCCCCTCTGCTGAAACCGGACTTTCGGCTTTAACGGGTCACCACACAGAACCCCCCCGTGGTGCCGGTTGCTCTGACCCGCTCCGTCGTGGCTCAGAGGCCACGCCTCCTCCCCACCGGCGTAGTTACTCTCCGCGTAGCTCTGGAGGCCGTCCAGCTGGGAGTCGGCGAGGTTCTGGTCCAACGGGGGCCGGGCCCGAGCCCACCTCAGCAGCTGCTGCGGTCGTCTCCAGGTGGCCAGCGGCGGCAGGGCGTCGGGTTTCTTCTCCCTCCGGCGGCCCTCCCGCTCCACAAACAGACACTCGGTGCTGCTGGGGGACTGCTGGCGGGACGCGGGTCCCGGAGGAGCTCCGGCGGGCGTTTCTCCGGACGACCGGGGTCTCTTCAGGATCTCCGTGCATTTATCTACGATGTGCCACATCTGCAGGAAGCTGGCCACGGTCACGTAGTTCACGATGTCCTCGTGTACGATGCTCAGCTGGCCCGTGTAGGCAGAACTCAGGACGCTCTCAAAGGCCACCGGGTCCATGACGGAGGGCAGGGACACGGTGGTAACGTTCTTCAGAAGAACCTGCCAGAGGAACCGAACAGAGGCGCTCTGAGTTCTCAGCTTCTGGACATAAAGATCACACACATCGCGTCGGACTCAGTTCTACATATTCCAGTGACCCGGATCGTGTTGGAAGAAATCGGATCTGTGCCGTTCAGACGGTCATGAAATACTCTGATATGGGTCACATGTGGGGAAAAGGCGGGTCTGATGCGTTTGTCTGCAGTGGGAGCGTAGCCTCAGATTAGTGTCGGCAGTCAGGGGCGACGCCTCTGAGCCAGCATCCGGATCTCACACCTTCACCAAAGCCCTTAACCTTGCTTTCAGGATTTCCCTCAGCTTCAGTGAAAGGCAGCAGGAAGAACCCTGCAGACCTGTTCAGGTCACATGACTGAACATACCTGGTCGTGAAAGTAAGGCGAGGAAGCAGCGAGGACACAGCGGTGGGCCCGGAACACCTGACCCTGGACCTGGATGGAGAGGTCACACAGCCGGCCCTCCTCGCGCTGCCGGTTCAGGTTGTCCAGGACCGCCGCCCGCGCACCGGGAAAACACACCTGGACGGTCAAACCGGGCGGAGCCACAGCATCACAGCAGGAGGGATCCATGGTGACAGAAAACTACCAACAAAACATAACAAGTCATGAATTGTGGCTCATGGACGTTTTTATGTGATTCCTGTTAGAGTGTCGAACATGTTCTAATCCCAGAAACACTCAGGTACACTCCAGGTGTGTTGCTGTATTTAACAGGTGGTTATGAGCTACATCATAGCCACAGCTGCCCTGGGGCAACAAGGCTGAGCACAACCGGTCCCTCCGACCAACACGTAAGGTGGGTTAGGTGTCTTGCCCAAGGACACGACTGCGCCAGGCGGGGCTTGAACCTGCAACCCTTCAGTTATGGGGCAGTACAACCTCGTGTTTCATGCATTTGTTGCAAAGATCTGAGAAAAGTCTCGTTTTCTTTAGTCCTGGGGACATTCAGAGCCATCAGAGCCGCACGTGAGCCCTGAACTCCAACAGAAGTCTGGCCTGGTTAGAAACGAGCGGTTTTACTCCTAAACCTTAAGAATTTAAATAAAATTACCTTATTTTAAACAAAGAGACACTACAACTCCATTCAAACTGTCGGTGTAGCTCATTCTCTAAAAAGCTCATTAATGCAGTAACTCAGAAGCAGGTGGAGTTATTTATGGTCTATTTAAACAAACACGAGCCCTAGACCTCAAACTAAGGTGGAAAACGTCCCATTTGTGGTTAGCGAGCTTTAGCTTGTGACATTTTAGCTGTTTACGTCACATTCTCTCCAGTATGACGCCACAATAAACACAGATTTGATAGAAAGTGTCATGAACAACCAGGTGAAATCTGGTTTGGTGCTTTAGTTTCCTGGTTGTCCCCCTTTGATCGTCCTGTTTCCACTTCCTGTATTCTGCTAATGCGTTAGCCGCTAACAGCTAGCTGGGTTACCGTCGGGTCTGTTCCTTTACCTTCGACGTGTCGACCTCTTCGCGGTTACATGAGACGTGGCCGACTACTCAAAGCACAACATGGTCACTCGGTAATTCCGGAGAAAATCTCCGGTTCACGTAAGTTCCTCCGTCCGTTTTCAGCTAACATCAAACAAGCTAGTGAGGCTAATGTTGCGTTCAATGTACCTCGGAAGTGTGGGAGAAGGCAGTTCTGACCTTTGTGATTAAAGTAGAAAAATAATAAAGGACGTAAACTTGTTTGCTGTCACGATGCATTTTAGAGTACTAATGTACTGATCATTAGAATGACGTTACATTTATTAGATAAATAAATCACAAGCTGACTGTGGGTGTAGGAGGTACTTTTTAAAAATAATTCACGACGTATAATTTTTTTACCGACAACAAAGTCAGATATTTAGTAATTTCTTTACTTTTTTTCCAAAATGGAATGTCCTCTTTCCGCGTTTCCAGATTCCAAAGAAACGCCGCGTAAGATGCTGAGCTCTCATCAGCATCCTCACTCGCGTGTGTGTGCGCGCGCGCACGTTTCTGTATCTTTATATTCAGTAAAAGTAAATTAAAAAAAAGGAAATAATACTTTTTCTGACCTTTACTTGCAGATCTGGACCGTTTCATAAGTCAAACATGACGTCAAGTCAAAACAAGGAAACGGGCCGTTTCTAAACATCAGGTCTGACCTGAATCTCATGTTATGCTCAGAGAATAACGACTAGTCTGTTTATTTGTTTAAAAAGTTTAATACATTAATGGAAAATGGTTCTAGCCTCTGCTGACTCGAAGCCTCCGTTATTGGACCGGACCGGCTGGTTCCGAGTCTAGTTAAAGGGCCAGTTCAGTATAAAAGCATAAAAGAATCGCGGCGCGCGAGTTGGCTCTCCGCGAACCTGCGTTCCGGTTCTCCGCTACTGGACCGGACCGGACCGGACCGTCCGACCCCCGCCCCCCTGCGGCGGGTTGATGAGCAGCATCCGGATCGTTCGTCACATCGCATCACCTGCTCGCGCACGCAGCCGTTTTACCGCAGTGCATCTGCAGCGGCGTGCGTGCGGAGCGACCCACCGGATGCTGTCATCGTCTCATCTGTTCGGATTCTAATCTGTCGCGTGAGCGCTGTTTGATCTGCGATGCGCGCGCGACAGAAACGTCGCTTCCACGAGCACGGGGTCATTAGGTAGGTGAAAGCCTGCGGTCGGACTGAGGGCTTGTTTTTCTGCGGACTCAGGTCCGGGAGGGGAGGCCCGGTTCCGCTCCGGTCCGGATCGTTCAGACCCACATCGTTAGCGAATTCTCCTCCTGGAGGCGTTTATGCATCGGTATGTTGTAGCGAACACACACTCACACACACTCACTGTTGTGGTTCTGTTATTGTGGGTCCAGAACCTCAGGGACCGGTCCAGTCTCAGGGTGTTGGAGGGAAGCTGCGGATCTGGCTTCAGCCTGAACTGACTGACATCTGGGATCCGCAGGAACCGGTTCTGAACCAAAGACCTGAGACTGGAGTCTGGGGGGGTGGGTAAAGGGGGACCAGTAGACCCAGTCTGCACTCTAGCCACTGTAGCTGCAACAGAACCGGGCCCAGCTGGTTTACAGCCTCGTAAAGCCTCAGCAAACACCTGACATCATGGTACCTGTGCACCTGCTGCTCCTCCCCCTGCTCTGCTCCATGCTAGGTGAGTTCTGCTTGTTCTTCTCTGGTTCTGGCGCTGGTTCTCAGACTCATGACGGCCTGTGTGGGTTCTAGTGTACCGGTGTGACTGCGCCTGTGCCGAGGTGGACTCCGACACCGAGGCCGTGGCCGGGGAAGGCTTCAAACTGGGCTGCATCTCCTGCAAGAAGAGGAGCGAGGTGGAGGCCACGGCCACCGTGGAGTGGTACTTCAGCCCCAGAGGGGAGTCCGAGTTTTTCCCCGTGAGTTCTGACGGTTCTGACCCGCTGGGTTTTCAGAATACGGTGTGCGTCAGGGAAAAGTAACCCAGAACTCCCGATCCAGCAGCTGAGCAGGTTCTGGGTCAGAAGTTCTGGTGCAGCTGTTTCATTGTTTTAGAACATTTTTAAAGCTTTGGTTCCAAAACTCAGACATGAAAGGTTCCTAACTCAAGGGATGAGCCAGAGGTGTGGGGGTCTTCACAGTGAGTAGAAAGTGATGTATTAAAGTACACGGGTGGCAGTAAAACTAATACTTCCAGCTCCACCAACTTTTTCACCTCGTTTTCATTCCTCCTCGTCGCCATTTTACTCTGAGTTTGAACGTCTGATCAGCAGAGCTCGTTTACTTCAGCTTCCAGCTTCATCCGTCCATGATGCACCCGCCATCGGCCCCCGGGGCAGCAGATCCGGGGAAATCCAGACGTTTCAGGGCTGTTAGGTTATTTATCTGGTAGAAGTTCAGAAACACCTCAGCTAAAAACCTCCAGGAGAACTGGAGCTGCTCATCGTCTCGGTGTCTTCTGTCCCTCTGCAGCTCTACACCTACGACGAGAACGGCCCCACCATCGAACACGAATACTTCATGGACCGAATCGCCTGGAACGGCAGCAAAAGGAGCAACGACATCCAGGACGCCACCATCTACCTGTTAAACGTCACCTTCAACGACTCGGGCACCTACCGCTGCTTCTTCCACCGCACCCTCTACTACGAGCACCACCAGCACTACGACCGCATCGACAAGGTGGTCTACCTCAACGTGGTGGCCAAAGGTCAGGAGATCCGCTGCATTATTAACCGTGTCCCGGCTGCTGGAGCCGTGAGCTCCATCAGCAGTTAGCGCTGGTCCGAGTCAGCAGCTCTCCTCTTAACCCAGATCTGCTGACTCATGAGACCGCTGAGGTCTGGTGGGATGTTCTGATCCACAGCAGGCCAGGCTTAGGTTCAGTCTGAGCTGCACTCGGCGACAGCTGGGAGGAAAAATCCGTTTGAGCGGGAAAGGTCCGACAGAACCAGACCCAGAAAACCCATGAGAATGTAAACTAAACCAGCCCGGTTCTTTGGTCTGTTTGATCTGACTTCCTCCCCGTTTGTCCCGACTTCCTGTTCCAGCCAACAGAGGAACAGCTTCCATCGTGTCGGAGGTGATGATGTACGTGTCCATCATCGGCCTGCAGGTCTGGCTCCTCATCGAGATGATCTACTGCTACAGGAAGATCGCGGCGGCGGGGGAGGAGGCGTTACGGGAGGCGGCGTGAGTAGACGCGTCACAGAAGACTCGTGTTGGGGTTTGGGGGAGGCGTGTCCTCCAAACAAATCAATCCTCCAGAAGGTTTTCAGGAAAACTCTGAAATGTTTCACTTTCCTTTCATCCTGCTGGTTGTTCCGACGGAGGTCCAGGATTAAGCTGAAACATGATCTCCAGAACAAAGTCGACACTGTACTCAAGCTTATGGTCGCTAAAGTTCCTTTAATCCTTCACAATAAAAGCCTCAAAGATCTGAAGCTCATAATTTATTAAACTGATCCTAGACCTCTGGGAATTCTGGGAAGTTGTGTTAAGATGCAGATGGAAGTTATTGAAAACTCCTCGTTCGTAGTCACCGGATACACGAGGCCTTGTTGGTAATGTAGTTCTTTCACCTTTCACCTGGGAACTTCCTGTTACCTGTAGAAACTCACCTGGGTGCTTTTGTGTCAGCAGCTTGTTCCTGAGGAAAACTTAACGGTGTTTCTCATCCTTTTCCTGCAGGAACGCCGAATATTTGGCGATAGCATCAGAGAGTAAAGATAACTGTGCAGGTGTGCAGGTGGGAGAATAGCACAGGTGAGTCAGCTGACCCACACCTACCGGTTCTGAAAGCATCACGATGTAGAAAAAGAGACGAAACATTCCATTCATCCATTCATTCATCCATTCATTCATTCATTCATTCATCGGTCTAACATCAGATTTTCTTCACAAGCTTAAATGTTTCAGCGGCCCGATTTCCTCTGAACTAAACGGTTAACAGTTTAATCCTGCTTTGGTCCAGAACCAGAACCCGGGTCGGTCCGAACACGAGGATCCAGTTTGACAGAAAATCGGATTTAGAAAATGTTCGTCTAGGGAACATGAGGGAACGCTGAAAATCCAACGGCACCAGAACAACCAGGGATTAGTTTGGGAAACCCTCATCAGGTTCTACTGAAACTTTACTGAGCAGAGCCAATGTTGGCCCGGTCCAGAGCACCAAATGTTCTGGATTCCATCAAAGTTGGATCAGAACCACAGTGGAAATGTGATCAGATGGATTTGGGTCATCGATGGAAGAAACCGACTCCGATCTGATCCAAGGATGCCCAAAATGTCGCAGAGAGGACGGGTTCTGGACCGGTCCGAGGGGACGGGTCCTGGACCGGTCCGAGGGGACGGGTCCTGGACCGGTCCGAGGGGACGGGTTCTGGATGTAACCTATTTTCCGTAGATCTCACTTTCCCGGGATCAGGACTTAATCCTCTCGTCTCTCTCCAGGTTTTCCTGGTGGACAGAACACTTCCCTCTACGCTCCAACCTGCATGACGACAGCCGGGCCAGAGGCCTCCTCTTCACCTCCTCCTGCTCCTCCTCCTCACTGACAGCATGGAACCAGCACTGTACATAGAGTCCTGCTTGTGAAGCATGTTCCATCAGGATTACGTTATGCATCAGCGGTCCAAACGTATTCAGGCACACATGTAGTCAGCCGCTCGTGGTTCCGCTGGACCCGCCGGGACGACGTGCTTCTGCCGGACCCGCCCGATGGGAGGTTTTTACGGATTCATCGGCTGAATGAGACTCACTGTTTATTCCGACTGTACTTCCTGTTTAACCGCTAGCTGTTCACTCGGTGATCCGATGTTAAAGCGTGATTAAAGATGTTTTAAAACCGGAGGGAACGTGGTTCTGATCTGGTCTTTGGTGGGTTTTTAGGATGTCCGATCCCAGTCCTAAACGGGCTTAAATGTTATTCCGTCTTTACGGAGTCCGATTTCATCTTAAACCTTCCTGTAGGAGATTCCTGATGATCCCTTTAGGAGACTCAAAGATTCCTGATGATCCCTTTAGGGCAGGGGTGCCCATCCTGGTCCTGGAGGGCCGGTATCCAGCAGGTTTTGGTTTTAACCCTGCTTCAACACACCTGAACGCAATCAGCAGGTGATTAACAGGCTTCTGCAGAGCCTGATGAGCTGCTGCACAGGTGATTCAACCACTGAATCAAGTGTGTTGGAGCAGAGAAACCACAAAACCTGCTGGATACCGGCCCTCCAGGACCAGGATTGGGCACCCCTGCTTTAGGGGATTCCTGACGATCCCTTTAAGGAGACTCAGAAGATTCCTGATGATCCCTTCAGGTGATCCCTGATGACTTCTGAGGATCTCCGCTGATCACACGTAGTGAAATCCATAAACTTTTCCTGAAATTGACTTCAAACCAACGAACATCATCTGAGTTTTTATTGGATGAAGAAGGGATCCCACATCGACATAATAAACCTCTGAAGTCCCGCTGAGGAGACAAAAGATCACAGCAGCATTCGGTTCTAGATAGCAGAACCCAAATGGGCCAGAGAGGTCCAGATAAACCTCAGAGTCTGGAGGACTTCTGATCCAGAACCACCCAAGGATTACAGGGAAGTCCATCAGCTGGGACGGAGAAAGAGACCAGGGGGTTCTGGTCCGGATCAGGACTGATAAACAGAGCCAGACCAGAACTTCTGTTCATTTACAGCTGTAGGACACAGTCGGTTCCGGGGTAGTGAGGCAGGTTGAGCTGGTACTTCCTCTCCAGGCCCGGTGGAACGAACCGCCCTCCCAGGAAGTGGTACCGCCCTCTGAACAGGGAGGCGGATTTCTTCGGAGCGGTCAGGGAGACGAGTGTGTCGGGTCGGAGTCCGTCTGCGCTGCCCGTCTCCACGTCCCAACCTGTAACAAATGACCCAGCACAAGATCAGAACCCGGTTCTGCTCCACTGAGCTTCACCGGCGGTTAGGATAAGCCCCGCCCACGCTTCATTTTTTCATCACTTTGATCCAAACATCTGATTCCAAGGTTTTTAAATCAAACCCGCGTCTGCGTTGATCATCCTGGAGGCCGTTACCTGAGCAGGTGAGGACTCACCTGAGGGGATGTCGATGCTGGCGATGGGAATGGTGGTCTTCTTCAGCTGGTCCAGGATGGACCCAAAAGGTTCTCGTACAGAACCTTTAAAGCTGAAGCCAAAGATGGCGTCGATCACCAGGTTGTAGGCTTCATCGATCACTTCAGCCTGCAGAAAACAAAAGATCCAGGTTAATCCAGGTTAATCCAGATTATCCCATTAAACCTGATAGAACAGCTTTAACAGCAGAGTATCAAACCTCCGGCATCTCCGTCAGGAAGGGGATCTCCATCTTCTCACACTGGGTGGTCAGACCCTGGAACAGAGGTTTGTTGGGTCTCTTCGGGTAAAGGATGGTGGGCTCGTATCCCTGCACCACGAAGCACGGAGACAGGAGATTAAACTCCGAATGTTCGGGAGTTCATCTTCCAAATGAGTCTGGGAAAACCTCTTATGAAAACACACATAATTACAATTATCCTGGGGAATTTTTACGTCATAATTAAAATAATGAAGACATCTTTAAGCATGTGACATGATTCCATTGTGTTGTGCCCTTGTTCTGCCCCCCCGGCTCAACAAAACACGAGCTAATGAGAGCGTGGTCACAGAGGAAGGTGCCTAAACGGTGGCATTATTGTTTATTTGTTGTTTATGTTGTTTTTGGGAAAGTTGGAGCCAAATGTAATCAACAGCTCAGGACTGAACCCACCGTTTATCGTTGCCTCTCAGATGAAAAAGGGTTTCAATCTAATTTCAATCAATCAATCAATCAGTTTTGCTTCAGTGTTGTTGATTAACTCACCAAACTGGTTTCTGCCTCATCAAACTTCAGATAATCCCAGCGGATTAAAACATTAATTCATTTATTAACCTTTAGAAAAGTGGATTTTACTCACAAATAGTCGGAGATGCCTGGCGCAGACCAGCCCGTCGCCCCCGTTGTTCCCTGGTCCACAGACCACCAGCAGCGCCGGTCGGGCTTTACGCAGCGAGGCCAGCGGGTACGCCTGCAGGAGGAAGATTCCCAGATTTGATCTGATTTCAGCTCCTTACATGTAAACACTGCTGCCTGGCAGCTCGGGTTTCTGATGAAACCTTAGAAGTTCGTGTCAGTTTAAAAAGTGATAAAGTCCGTCTGAGGACGTTTTACTGTTTACAAAGTAAACAGAAACATGTTAAAGTGAGCCTAGAACCCGTCTGACCCGTGTGATGGCAGTGGCACAGCTCAGTCCAGCCAGCTCCATCAGCTGATCCACGCTGAAGCCATACTCGCTGAAGAGCTCCTCATCAACCTTCTGGGCCTCCTCCTGTCTGTGACGGGTCCACACGTCAGGTCTAGGCTCAAACCAGTCACCTTTACGGCCCCAGAACTGCTTCAGAACCTCACCCGAGATATTTGATGGTCTGGGCCATCGTGGACGCCGATCTGCTGCCGGAACAGGCCTCGTTGTGGCGGTTAGCTGAGGAGGACAGCGAACACGTCTGAGGGACGGTTGCTGCAGCTCGCGAGCTCACCAGGAAGCCGATCCCGAGCAGAGCCCGCAGGTTCCGCATCCAGAAGATCCAGAAGGACAGAGACGGCTCTGCTGGCTGAGACCGAAACATCAGTTTACATAAAACACAGCGGAAAACCCAAAAGAGCTCAAAGACGAATAAATAAACCCTCCGAGTCATAAAGCAACTCTTACAGCACAAAGTCTGATTTTAGCAAATAAAAATATCAACAATCATTTAAAAAACCCAAATTAGCTGCGTCAGCCTTTTGATACAAACACGGGATGGTTGCATTAGAACACAGCTTGCTGATATTTGGGTAAAATGTGATTATTAGAAGTTTGTGGTTTAAAACCTGTTTTGTTTGTTGAGCCGCAGCTAAGTTAGCCTCACAGCTGTTAGCAAGCAGCTAAGTGCTAGGCTAGGCTAGGCTAGCAAACTTTTTGAATTTGTTCGAAACAAAATAATAAACAAAAGCAAACAAATAATAAATAACCTCCGGAACGTTTCTCACCTTTTACTGGAGAAACGATTCAAAACTTAGACGAGAAATACGAGTTTGATGAGGAGCAGCTAGTTCCGGGTTCAACACTACAAAATAAAGCGTCAGTGTCATTTCAAAATAAGACAATCAGGAGAGGTCAAATTTATGATCTAAATGTCTAAGCCGTGATTTAAATAAACAAACAACACAAAAAAGCAAACATAGTTTGGCTAGAAGAGCTGCTGCATCCTCAACATTCATTCATTCATTTGTCTGTTCATTCAGGTAGGACCTTTAGGCCTGGGTGAAGATGTAGAGGAAGTTAATGAATAAAACAGTTTAGATTTATTTTAATAATCAGAAATAAAATAGTGGATGAGTCCTCTAGGCCTAATGTGAGTTTGCTCTGGGAGTGAGAGTGAAACTGGAGAGGAAGATTTAAAAGTTTAGGTTCTCCATCCAGCAGAGTCCAGAGTAATAAAACCGAAACACAAACTATTTTTAGACATATTCTTTAGAAAAAAGCACCAGTGGCATGGGGTTATTTATTTATTGATTTTGTTGTATAAAAGTGGCTGTAATCTGAAAACTCGTGCACAGGAAATGATTTTCACACACAGATATTTAACTTCAAACATGAATTATAAAACATCCATCAGTAATGATTCCAGGAGACAAAATACTAGCATTTTAAAATACTAAAGGGTCAAAATCCTTTAGAACATCATGTCTTACTATAATTGCATTTTTCAGATTTCTACTTTTAAATCGAGCTAAGCTCAAATACTGCACGTTTAACTGTTTGATATAAACTCAAATATGTCTTTGTAAAAATGTTTATTGTTATCAGCAAAAGTACAAACGCACAGTTAAGAGGCTGCAACTGATTTATTGAAGAAAAAACAAGTTTTTTATTTAAAAACAAATATTTTACTGTAAAAAAACAACAACTAAAAGCAGCTGCGGTGTAGAAATATATCAGTGGAATTCAGATTAATCTAATGAGCTTTTATTTATTAGAAAATTCAGAAAACCAGGAAAATGAAGTTTATTCATTCATATTTATTTCTAAATACTTTTGTAAACAATAAAAAAGTAAGACTATAGTCCGCTTCATCAACTAATGAATTCTGAACCACAGAGGAGCTGAAGCTAAAAGTTACTACTAACTTAATACTCAAAGTATTTTAACGTCCTGGAGGTCACATGACCGGACAGCTCTCCATCCGGAGTCCAGTCTGAAAAAAACACAATAAAACACGTTTAAAAATGTTGTACTGACAACTAAATATCACCGTTTATGCTAAACATCACAGTTATGGTTCCACTGAATTACACCAACAGCCTGTAAAGTCGGGCTTTTTCCTATTTATTCATTTATTAATAAAAAAACAAGTATTTATACATTAGACTGAAACAGGAAATATTCTGAAAGACCTTCAGAAATGTGGCTGCCAGGATGGAAAACAGGTTTTACTCTGATGTTTTTATAATGACGCCTTCAGGTGTCCTCACCTTCCGAGGAGTGCTGGTGCTGAACACGTACGACTGTGGCACCAAACCCTCGGAGATCCCGCCGCTACGGAACGAGCGGGATGCCGACGACACGGAGCAGCTGCTGGATTTGTCTGAGGGAAGTCCGCAGGATCCACAGACGACGGTCCGGCTGCGCAGGTTGTACTCGCCGTCGCTGCAGGTGCTGTGGGCCACCTGCTGAAGACGACACCAACAGAAGCAGAACATCAGAACGGCAGGACAAACGGGTCAGAAACGGGCTAACAGACCCAAAATAATCAGGGAAAATTCTAAAAATGTTTTATTTTATTTAATGATTTGAGGCGTTTCCTTTGGAGTGATGGGAGCACGAGAGAAAAATAATCTGAACATAAATGAACCAACATCATGTTTTTATTCAGTCTGATGTAGATTTTTCTCTGAGTTGTTAAAGAGCAAGTCACCCCCTACCAGAGTATTACTCCACTCCCACTTCCTGTTTGAAAAATGCAACAAATGCTGTTGCCTAGCAGACCGAGAGGGAGGAGCCGCAAACAAATACACACACACAGGCTCACAACGACATCGTGACATCATATGGTACCAGCTAACATTCCAGGGTACCTCTTAGCCAATAGCGATGGCAGATTTTAATTCAAATGCAGTGAAGAGTTTTTACCTGACGACGGCACAACGCTGACAGTTTTAGGCAGAATATTAAAATTTTAACTAAAATGCACTAAAGTGCAAAACTATTGACGACACGTGTCTGCAGCACGTTTAGACACGCATTTGGGGCGACGGTGGCACAGGAGTTAAGCGCTCGCCCCGTAATCGGAAGGTTGCAGGTTCGAGCCCCGCTCAGTCTGTCGCTCGCTGTCGTTGTGTCCTTGGGCAAGACACTTAACCCACGTTGCCTGCTGGTGGTGGTCGGAGGGACCGGTGGCGCCAGTGCTCGGCAGCCTCGCCTCTGTCAGTGCGCCCCAGGGCAGCTGTGGCTACATCGTAGCTCATCACCACCAGTGTGTGAATGGATGATTGTGTTGTAAAGCGCCTTGGGGGGTTCCAGGACTCTAGAAGGCGCTATATCAAATACAGGCCATTTACCATTTTTTACCATTTATATAGTTTATCAGAAAAAACAGTTGGTTTGGGGGTGACTTGCTCTTTAAATTAAAATGTTAAAAACTTGAATATAAACAAATAAATGTCTAAACAAGCCAAACTGTTTAAATATTCCTACGTGTGAATTTATTAGTTTATCATTCATTATTTTTAATTCATTTAATGGCACTCTAATGATTCCATACAACGAAAAAAGGCTCAGAGTTTTTTTTTTGAACAAGAGAATTCACTGATGTAATAAAATAATAATTTTTCACGTGTTTTATTAAGTTAAAATGTTTAATGCTTAAACACTTTTGACTCAAAATACATTTTTTATTGTTTCTGTAAAGAAACAAAAGCGTCTCCAGGACTTCACTTGAACCCTTTTGTTTGTGCCTCTGTTTGAGCGTCTCACCATATCTTCATCTTCGTCTTCAAAGTGTGTGCGGGTCACCTTCCTCATCGCCATTTCCTGGAAGAAAAGCTTTCACTCAGTCGTCTAAACCATGAACGTTTGATTACATGTACATTTTTAGGTTTTTGTTAAATGCTGTGGGGGTTGTGGGCACCTCTCCACTGGCACTGAGCAAGCTGGTCTGGAACTGGTCTCCGGTGCCCCAGGTAGGCTGGGCCTTCCACACCAGGTCTGAAGGAGGATTGTGGACTCCACCTCCGTTTGAAGCCCAGATCTGATCACAGAGAACCCAACGGAAGGTTAAAACACGCGCAAGGCCGTTTCTGGTTCTGATCGTGGAACAAAGGTTCTAACCGTTACTCTCTGGCCGGCCTTCAGAGTGAATTTAGCCGGAAACTTAAAGATGATGGGAACGCCGGATCCCACCTGCCGCTTCAGCTGCCAGTTCCCCAAATTCTGATCCTACAGGGAGAAGATGACACCAGAAGGCTAGAAGACACTCAACAAACCAGGAGGCACCGGTCCTGAATCATTGTCTTAGCGCCTAGAGCGGGATCGGCTGTGAAGCTGGAGACAAAAGTCAGAACAGCCCGTTGGTGAAGTTCAACCGAATGAATCTTGAGAGACATGAAAATATCCTCCCATATTTTTACAGGACTTACAAGATGGAGAGCAGCTTTATAAATGATCTCTGATGACATCTGAGTTTAAATTAAACAAAATGCTTGGAAACTAGTCTGGTTTTGTGTCGGGTGTTAAACCTGGTGAACGGTCTTAGAAAATCTGAAAGCTTGATGAGGTAACAGTAAATCACAGCATCATCAGCAAGACATCTGGTATTTTTCTTGCTGACTGGAAGAAAAACATGTGTAACTAGGATAGAACCATGAGGAACACCTCAGGTAGAGTGACATCTTATGACCATTTCACCCTCTCACCTCGTCTGCCTTGTTGCTGAGTCGGACATACTTCCCGTCCAGGTCCACCTCGTCCACAGTGACGCGTCCGCTGGCTGAGGCCTGCTGAATGATGCGAGTACGAGACACAGCTCCGCCCACAACACTGGACGCCTCGCTGTCGGTGTCGTTAGGACGGCGTCTCTTGGCTGGGGAGCTGCGAGCGCTGCTGTGGATCAATCGAGAGTGGCTGGCCGAAGCGGAGGAGCGACTTGCTGTCACTCTGGTTGGAGGGGGACTGGGGGACAGGCGCAGGCGCTCCTCCTCCCCCTCCAGAAGTTTCCTGTAGGCACAGATCTCCATATCCAGAGCCAGCTTCACGTCCAGGAGCTCCTGATACTCATCCAGCTGCTGCTGCATCCTCTGCCTCATCTCCGCCATCTCCCGGTCTTTCTCTCCCAGCAGGCGACGAGTGGTGTCCCGCTCCCGGGACAGTGCGTCCTCTAGTTCCCGGAGCTTCGCCTCACGAGCCGCCAGCTGGATTAGACAGATTTAGACTAATCACCATCACATCCCAGAATGCTAAAGGAAGAGGCACAAAGACGTAACAGAAAGCACTGGAGAGGAAATCTTTCAAAACGATAAAATGTTTTAAATTTTGCATTAAGGCTGCAAAACAAGCTAGCTTTGAAACACAAGCGCTGTCACGGAACTCTCACCCATCTAATGCCTAGGCCACACCCCCCTGGAAACGGAACCCACATTACCAGAGGAAACGAGTCAGCGCTAGACACCGGTCCCCGTTTTCTTTTGTTGTCCGTGACTTCAGACGGTGATTTTCTTTTTGGGACTCTGTTAGTTTGTCCTAAAGCTGAAGCGGTAGCAGCCGGCTGTTTCTCCTTCTCTGGTGTTACTGAGCGGAGAATCTCTCACACCGGTGGCGTTCTCGTGCTGAACACGTGAGTGTGTGATGAGTGTAGGACCAGGGAAGTGCGGCGGTTCGGTGAGACCGACAACCGGATGGTCCGGTGGCTGGTTTTGGTCCGATCCGTGTTGTTGGTGGAGGTTTTTGGACAAACGTGAGCGAACCACTTTATTAGGTTTTTTGTATTTTTTTTATCTCCACAATAACTTTATGGCTAAACGATTTTCGAACGCTGTTCAACGTGTGAAGCTAGCCTGTTTTACAGATTAGCAATTGGACGCTTTGTGATTTAAAGCATTTTGCACCAAGTTGTTTATGATGTGTTGGAAGTGGGCTAGGGTTGTTTATGATGTTTTGGAAGTGGGTTAGGGTTGTTTGTGATGTGTTGGAAGTGGGTTAGGGTTGTTTGTGATGTTTTGGAAGTGGGTTAGGGTTGTTTGTGATGTTTTGGAAGTGGGTTAGGGTTGTTTATGCTGTGTTGGAAGTGGGTTAGGGTTGTTTATGATGTTTTGGAAGTGGGTTAGGGTTGTTTGTGATGTGTTGGAAGTGGGTTAGGGTTGTTTATGATGTTTTGGAAGTGGGTTAGGGTTGTTTATGATGTGTTGGAAGTGGGTTAGGGTTGTTTATGATGTTTTGGAAGTGGGTTAGGGTTGTTTGTGATGTTTTGGAAGTGGGTTAGGGTTGTTTATGCTGTGTTGGAAGTGGGTTAGGGTTGTTTATGATGTGTTGGAAGTGGGTTAGGGTTGTTTATGATGTTTTGGAAGTGGGTTAGGGTTGTTTATGATGTGTTGGAAGTGGGTTAGGGTTGTTTATGATGTGTTGGAAGTGGGTTAGGGTTGTTTGTGATGTTTTGGAAGTGGGTTAGGGTTGTTTATGATGTTTTGGAAGTGGGTTAGGGTTGTTTGTGATGTTTTGGAAGTGGGTTAGGGTTGTTTATGCTGTGTTGGAAGTGGGTTAGGGTTGTTTGTGATGTTTTGGAAGTGGGTTAGGGTTGTTTGTGATGTTTTGGAAGTGGGTTAGGGTTGTTTTTGATGTGTTGGAAGTGGGTTAGGGTTGTTTATGATGTGTTGGAAGTGGGTTAGGGTTGTTTATGATGTTTTGGAAGTGGGTTAGGGTTGTTTATGATGTGTTGGAAGTGGGTTAGGGTTGTTTGTGATGTTTTGGAAGTGGGTTAGGGTTGTTTATGCCGTGTTGGAAGTGGGTTAGGGTTGTTTATGATGTGTTGGAAGTGGGTTAGGGTTGTTTATGATGTGTTGGAAGTGGGTTAGGGTTGTTTATGATGTGTTGGAAGTGGGTTAGGGTTGTTTGTGATGTTTTGGAAGTGGGTTAGGGTTGTTTATGCTGTGTTGGAAGTGGGTTAGGGTTGTTTGTGATGTTTTGGAAGTGGGTTAGGGTTGTTTATGCCGTGTTGGAAGTGGGTTAGGGTTGTTTATGATGTGTTGGAAGTGGGTTAGGGTTGTTTATGATGTGTTGGAAGTGGGTTAGGGTTGTTTATGCTGTGTTGGAAGTGGGTTAGGGTTGTTTTTGATGTTTTGGAAGTGGGTTAGGGTTGTTTATGATGTGTTGGAAGTGGGTTAGGGTTGTTTTTGATGTTTTAAGTGTTTTCTGTGCTTGACCTGTTTCTGCAGCTGGCTGAGCTGAGCAGATGTGGACTCCAGGCGTATTCGTGTTTGCTGCAGCTCCTCGTGAGCCGCTCCAACCAGGTGGCTGCTCCGGTCGGCCGACTGACGAGCGCCTTCCAGCTGTCAGACAGAAACATTCAGAAAGCGTTCCTCCTCAGAAGGACCACATCCTAGGAAGCTAAACCACGTGTATGGACCTTGGTACTGTAGGTCTTCTCCATCTCCTCTTTGTACATTTTGATCTGCAGCTCATGCTGGTTTCGCATCTCCACCAACGCTTCGGCCAGTTTGCTTTCAAACTCCTGCTGGTGGCCGTTATCCAGCTCCACCATTCGGGACTCGTGCCGCCGTTTTATCTCCCGCAGCTCCTGTTGAAGAAGGAAGTCTGAGTGGTGTTGCTGCTTCCCAACATTCCCCTCTGACAGGAACATTTGTCCGAAACCTGACTTCAGATTGGAGGTTCTTCTGAAAGTCCAGCTCCTCTTTCAGGGTCTGAATGCGGTTCTCCCCGTCCACCCTCCTCAGCATCTCCTCCTGGAGCTGCTTCCTGGCGTCGCCCAGACCCGTTTCCAGCTGAGAAAAACAAGGAGAAACAAAAACATTAAATAAAAAAAGAGCAGGAAGTAGGAGGAGCTTCTGACGCAGTTTCATCCATGCAAAAGATAAACTTTAGCGGATCTTTATGATCATTTTGACTCAGAGTAATAAATCTAAGCTTCTGTATAATTTCTGGCAGTAATGGGCTTCCATACATGACCCCTGACTGAGTGTGAGGTCACCTTTGCGACCTGAGCCTTCAGGTCCCGGGTCTCCACCTCCAGGTTCCGTTTCTCTCCCAGCGCCGTGGTCAGAGACGCGTCCTTCGAGTTCAGCAGAGCCTCCAGGTCTTTGAGCCGCTGCTGAGCTCCGGAGAGGTCCGATTCCTTCTTACTGTTCCTGGAAAAGTAAACGCAAACCAAGCAGTTCGTCTCTGACCCAAATGATTTCATCTCGACTGAAACAGAAAAGATTTACAGGACGAAGGTCAGCTGTGAGGATTACAGCTCGTAGTTTCAGTCGTCAGGTCTGACTCTTCACTATTTATCTGTTTATTTTGTTTATCACTGGGAAATGATGTTTTCTCATTTATTTATGTTTTTGGATCATCCAAACCCAGTTTCACATCAAACCCACACTCTGAGAACGAGGAACCGGGACCGGAACGTCTGTCTTCAAAACATGTGTGTTTAAAAAACGCAGAAACTCAGATAAACAATCTGTTATTGAACAGGCCAGATACGTGAGTAATTATGTTTTATTATGACCAGCTGCAGAGACCTCCGGCCACGTTTGAGTGGGCTCGGCCTCCCAGGCCCCCCTATTGGCCCCGCCCCTGTGGGACAGAACCTGGAGGAGAACTGGTGGATCTGAGTCACTCCACGGTGAATGTCCCATGATGCTGCTGCCCACAAACCACAGCCGCTGGTGTTTGGCTGCCATGGTAATGACCACACACACACACACACACACACACACACACACACACACACACACACACACACGCGCGCGCGTATTTATGGAAAGTAAAGCCTTTAGGGGCACAGTCTCAGAGCCGCTGCCACGTATAATGATGATGGTTCACGAGGAAAGAGTTAGTCATCGGGATCTGGAGTCGGAGGCGGGGAGGGATGAGGAGGGAGCGGCTCAATCAGCAGCTCCTAAAAAACTCCGGTTATTAAAACCTGAGGAGCTGCTCCGGTTTCTGCTGACGACTCACACAAACGGCTTTCCTCGACTCAGAGACTAAACGTCTTTAAGTAAAACACAAAAGGTCAAACGTGTGAACCCGCTGTGAGGAAATCTCGCTCCTGTTTCAGGATAATTCAGCTGCTTTCATTCCCGTCGTGTTCTGATTGAAAACCGAGTTTATGCAGTAAGAAGAGACGAGTGTTGAGCTTCATTTCTTGTAAAACTCGTGTTAAAGAGGGTTTTCAACTTTATTTAAATACGTTTTGTTGTTTTGCTTTGTTTAAAAACTTAAAAAAGCAGAAACCTGGAGGGGAACGGACGTCTCACCATCATCGTATAAAAGACTCCATTTCTGCCCTTTCGTAAGGTTCGATCTGATCCACAACATTTAGAGGTGGGAGCAGCTCTAGTCACATATCTCTGTTTAAAGTCTGCGAGGGTTACAGGGGCGTGTCTGAGGATTTCAGGGCTCCCTTAAAAACAGCCCCCCACCACCACCCACCTGGCCTTCAGCTCCTTGTGGTCCTCTCGGAGCTTCCCCAGCTCCAGCTGCAGCCGCGCCCTCTCTTTGGCCACCGAGTCCAGCGTCTGACGGGCGTCGGCCAGCTCGGCCTCGTAGGCGGCCTTCAGACCCGTCAGCTCCCGGGTCACCTCGGTCTCAGACTCGGTGATGCGTAGACGCAGGCCGGCGTTCTCGACCTCCAGAGAGCGCACCTTGTCGATGTAGACTGCCAGACGGTCGTTGAGGTTGGACAGGTCCTCCTTCTCCTGGAGCCGGGTGATGCGGTTCGGAGACAGAGGGCTGTTGGCGCCTCGGGGGGTGTTTTTGGGCGTCGCCATTTTACCTTTGGTTCAGAAACACCTGGATGAGCTTGTTTTAATCCAGACAAACTTCAAATCTGTCCATCGATGAGTTTTAAACCAAACTCGGAGACATCACATGGAACTCGTCTCACATCTGAATTGGGGCGGAGCCAACAGCTCCACCCTGGAATATAAGAAACACATAAAAACTGTTCCCGAAGGATTTACCTGTTAGGATCCGGCTGGTCGAGGAGAAAAGTGCAGTCCGTCCTGCGGTCTGAGTCCTTCAGGCTGCTGGGTCCGGTTCTGTTCTGACTGAGAACCCGTCTGGGTGCCCATGTAGGAAAGAATGAGCTGGGAGGGAGCAGAGAGGCTGGCCTCCGGTTTGGCATCGGGTGGATCCTTCTTCCTTCTGCAGCCTGAATGAATGAGTCATCAGCTAAATAAACACACGGATCCACGGATGTGGAGCTGCAGCCCGACACGGATCGGATCACAGAACCAGGAGAATGAAGAGTTTGTTTGTTTAAAACTTTATCGTCTCAGTTAAATGTTTAAGAGTTTTTCACCTTTTAGGCTGAATGAGTGAAAATTCAGATCAGATCAGAGCTCCAGACACGTCTTCTGCTCCTCCGCCGGCAGCAAGACGGACAAAACATGAAAGAAAACTCAACAGAACAAAAACATCCGATCCATCAGAGTTCTGCTGGGCCTTGTCAGTTCTGGTTCAGCTCTCTGAAGGTCCCAAGTTCTCACAGGTTCTGGTCTGGACTCTGATAGGACCCCTGCAGCACCTTGGTTCTGATATACCTGCTGCTGGATCATGGTTCTGTTCCAGTTGAGTTTTCCTACTTGGAAGTTGGAATTTCGGAGTATGGAATAAATCTAGAATGGGAGAAACATCAAATCTGGAACACTAGTCTCAGAGTTGCTGCACGGGTTATTTATTTATTTATTTTCTGTTGCTGCTCATTTGTTCGGGGCTGATTGATGCACTCGCATAGTTCAATCATTCCTCCTTTAAACTTCAAACAGAACGTTTTTCCTCATGTTGTTGAAAACCTGCTGCAAGGGGGAACGCTGCAGGGGGGAACGTTGCAGGTGGGAACACTGCAATGGGGGAACGCTGCAGGGGGGGAACGCTCCCGTGGGGGAACGCTGCAGGTGGGAACACTGCAATGGGGGAACGCTGTCATGAGGGAATGCTGCAGGTGGGAACGCTGGGAATACTTGAATAGTATAAACCCTATTTCTCTGTACTGAGGCTGTTCAGGGTGATGTTTTGTGGGTAAAATAAAAAGTATTTATAATTTTTACACACAGAAAGGCTGAAATAGTCTTTGAACACACGTGGATGCTTTACTGTTTTTGGGTTTTGGTTTATTTCTTCATAAATGAACAAAAAAATAAAAGTTTTAAAATGATGAGAAGCTGCTGTTGTATTATGGGATGTATTTGGTGGCAGCAGTAGCTCAACAGGTTGAGCGGGTTGTCCAGTAATCGGAAGGTTGCAGGTTCGATCCCGGCTCCAGACTGAGAATTCTGCTGTTGTGTCCTTGGGCAAGACACTTAACCCACCTCGCCTGCTGGTGGTGGTCGGAGGGACGGTGGCGCCTGTGCTCGGCAGCCTCGCCTCTCATCCCCACCAGTGTGTGAATGTGTGTGTGAATGGATGAATGATGCACTGTGGTGTAAAGCGCTTTGGAGTCCTTCCTCTGAGAGGCGCTGTACACGTGCGGCTCATTATCATGTATTTCATGTAGCCCATTCCATTGTGTTTTATTTATGTCCAGCGGACAGATAATCCTGTTTAATCCCTGAGATGTTTTAATCTGAGCTGTAAATGTGGCTTTTTTGTTGCTTTGGGCTCCGTGCGCTGAGGGAGGGGGCTCGGAACGGTTCGGTTCGGCTCGGCTCGGTCATGTGGTCTGAAGGAAAACCCGTATTGGATCGCTGAGGTCACCTGGGCAAAGAAACAAAAAAAAAATTACCAGACCGGTGAAGATCCGAGCGGAACAGAACCGAGCTGATGGGTTTAGTTAAAGATGTTTAATGTTCCACACAAACAGAACGGGTCAACCTGCGCCTCAACCGGTTTAATCCGGAAAATAATAGCAGAAAACACCCAAATCCGCCTGAAACCGTAAAAACTGTAATAATCCGAGTCACGTGGGTCCCGTTACAACATTTCACGTCTTCTAAAGAAAAAACGTACAAATAAAAAGACAGAAAGTTGCTGTTTCCTTCGTCCCAAAAGGCGCAAACGAGTCCACTCCGCGTCTTCTTGTGCGCATGAAGAGCCGCAGTTAGCGCGGATAAACACCGGAGCACCGAGAGGACTCAATACACGACCGGTCCGGTTTTTAGGAAGAAACCCGCCCCGGTCCGAACTCCCAGCGGCTGTGAATCTGAGCCGAACCCGGACCTCCGCGGATCAGACACCGAACCGAAGCCAGCGGCCTCCGCCTCGGCTCGCGCCCGCTCGGAGGCTCACGTGTCCCGGACGGCCTCCCTCACATGACCCGAGTGTTTGTCCCCGTGATCAGCGCCTCCGTCTCCGTCGGTCTGTGTCGGTGAGCCGGTCCCACCCTCGGAAGGCTTCATGGAGATGTTGGAGCAGAGTGTGGAGGGCTCGGTGAGGTGAGGAGCTACGGAACCGGCCTGCTTCCGGTCCGGTCCGAACCGGAGCCGCTCGGCTCCAAAACCAGTTAAATAATCTTCAGCAGAAACATTCAAACACATTTTTATCTTTTATTAAAATCACACAAATAAACAAAAGTCCGGGATCCGTCTAATTCCTGGAGCAGAAACTTGATTGGTGGGACTTTTCCAGTGAAATGATTCCCGGTTTTCCCATTCCCAGCCTGACGCGACCGCCTGGAGGCGCTCCGTCGTTCCCAGCAGTGAAATTCCCTCAGAAATCAGACCCACGTGACTAACTCGCTGCTCTGCTCTGTTTCAGTCACAACAAACCGGAAGCGGAAGAAGCGCAGCTGCAGGAAGGTGGGGACCTCCATCACCACATCCACCCTGCTCCAGGAACTACCCCAAACACTCACGTAGCATCCGCAAAATTCCAGGAGTTCCACAGAGATATTCCCACCCGCAACATTCCCATCCTCGCTCCAGCTGATGGAGAATTCCAGCTCTGGTTCTGTCCACCAGAACCGACTCCATCACCTTTCTGGGTTCTAAATGTTCCTAAATTCTCATTTGGGAATGGGTTCTGGACCGGCCTGCTGTGGTTCTGGTCCAGAAAACGTTCCTGCAGCAGGCTCGTTTTCCCCTTTGGTTCTGGATCCATTTCCCAGAGTGATCTCTGGAGGTTCTGGTTCCATCTGAAGGATCAGACCAGCTCTAAATCCTGATGTTCTGCAGGAGGGACCTCAGGACAGTTGGACAGAACCAGATTTGGAGCGGGTCAGGGTTTTAGTCAGCTGTCAGAAACAAACTCACCTGGGTTTAAACCTTCAGCAGATGAAAGAAATCACACGACGGAACAGAAAAGTTGTAAAAGGCTTTTGGTTCTGGGGTTCTGGTGAAGGCTTTAGGTTCCTGACAGAACCGGGAACGCTGAGCGTTCTTCCTGCAGGTGGATTTAAAACTCTGTATTCTTGTTTCAGGAGAATCCGAGGCGCCGGACGAGCAGACGGCCGTCACCATCTCCAGCGTCCCTCAGGCCGCGTTTGCCGACCACGGCGTCCAGTACCAGTTCAGAACCGAGAACACAGGAGGACAGGTGGGTCCGTGTGACCGTGAGGTAAAAGGCCGTCTTCGGTGGAGCCCTTTGGGTCACCATAGCAACAGCAGGAAGCTTCTCTGCTCTTCCTGTTGAAGCTTTGAGGGGAAACGTCTCGGACAGAGTTTATGGACTCCCATCAGGAGGAAAGCCAGCCCAGTTAGGAATCTGAGGGAATTTTAACATTGTGGAGGAATCCAGGAATCTCACCTGGATGCAGAACAACAGAGCTGATGCCCGCTGGAGGCGGCGGTCTGACACAACGACCACGCCTTCGCTGCCAGTCAGGGCCGAGCGGCCTCCTGTGGCAGGTTTGTGTTGCATTCTGGGAAACAGGAGGACACAAATATCAGGGTTCAGATTTACCTGGCTAATGTTTGGGCAGGTACATAGCCAGGAATACGTAGACGCCCATTAGGTGCTGGAGAGCGTAACAGCGTTGCCGCCATATTGGATAGGTGTCCTCACTCTCCAAAGTGAATGCAGAGTGAGCCGCTACGCCCATGAACCGGTGTACTGTTGAGAACCAATCACGTGGGATTACTGGTGACTTTTCTAGCCTGATATTAACATTTATATTAATTCAGTTTAATCTTATTCATATTTTAATTATCATGCCATACATGTGTTTGATTTTGTGAAACAGCTTTAGATCAAACGTCTAAAGGGTTCAAACGAAGGCAACAGGACTTCTTTGGTTTCATGAAGAAGTTTTGCTTCTCGTCCGAGGAGCTTTGTCCATTCCAACTGGAATAAGGGAGAGTCAGGCTTACAAGCTGTAGCTGTCTGCTGCTACTTAACGAGCAGAAACTACCACAGAACTGACAAATCTCCTCAGATGAGAAGCAAAACATCTTCATGAAACCAAAGAAGTCCCGTTGCCTTCGTTTGAACCCTTTGGACCACGACCTGGATGACTGAGAACCTTCACCAGCATACTTGATAAAATGTGTTCTTTAGTTGGGTAAGCACCTTCGTAAGTAGAAATGAATGCACTGGGGGCGAATGGAGACCCATTCATTTACATTTACAGGTGTGTTACAGGTGTGTTTACATGTGTGTTACAGGTGTATTGTAGGTGTATTACAGGTGTGTTTACATGTGTGTTACATGTGTATTGTAGGTGTATTACATGTGTGTTTACATGTGTGTTACAGGTGTGTTTACATGTGTGTTACAGGTGTATTGTAGGTGTCTTACAGGTGTGTTACAGGTGTATTGTAGGTGTATTACAGGTGTGTTTACATGTGTGTTACAGGTGTGTTTACATGTGTGTTACAGGTGTATTGTAGGTGTCTTACAGGTGTGTTACAGGTGTATTGTAGGTGTATTACAGGTGTGTTTACATGTGTGTTACATGTGTATTGTAGGTGTGTTACAGGTGTGTTTACATGTGTGTTACAGGTGTGTTTACATGTGTGTTACAGGTGTATTGTAGGTGTCTTACAGGTGTGTTACAGGTGTATTGTAGGTGTATTACAGGTGTGTTTACATGTGTATTGTAGGTGTATTACAGGTGTGTTTACATGTGTGTTACAGGTGTGTTTACATGTGTGCTACAGGTGTACTGTAGGTGTCTTACAGGTGTGTTACAGGTGTATTGTAGGTGTATTACAGGTGTGTTACAGGTGTATTGTAGGTGTATTACAGGTGTGTTACAGGTGTATTGTAGGTGTATTACAGGTGTGTTTACATGTGTATTGTAGGTGTATTACAGGTGTGTTTACATGTGTGTTACAGGTGTGTTTACATGTGTGTTACAGGTGTATTGTAGGTGTCTTACAGGTGTGTTACAGGTGTATTGTAGGTGTATTACAGGTGTGTTACAGGTGTATTGTAGGTGTATTACAGGTGTGTTACAGGTGTATTGTAGGTGTATTACAGGTGTGTTACAGGTGTATTGTAGGTGTATTACTGGTGTGTTTACATGTGTATTGTAGGTGTATTACAGGTGTGTTTACATGTGTGTTACAGGTGTGTTTACATGTGTGTTACAGGTGTATTGTAGGTGTCTTACAGGTGTGTTACAGGTGTATTGTAGGTGTATTACAGGTGTGTTTACATGTGTATTGTAGGTGTATTACAGGTGTGTTTACATGTGTGTTACAGGTGTGTTTACATGTGTGTTACAGGTGTATTGTAGGTGTCTTACAGGTGTGTTACAGGTGTATTGTAGGTGTATTACAGGTGTGTTACAGGTGTATTGTAGGTGTATTACAGGTGTGTTTACATGTGTATTGTAGGTGTATTACAGGTGTCTTACAGGTGTGTTACAGGTGTATTGTAGGTGTATTACAGGTGTGTTTACATGTGTATTGTAGGTGTATTACAGGTGTGTTTACATGTGTGTTACAAGTGTATTGTAGGTGTATTACAGGTGTGTTTACAGGTGTATTGTAGGTGTATTACAGGTGTGTTTACGTGTGTATTGCAGGTGTGTTACAGGTGTGTTTACATGTGTATTGTAGGTGTATTACAGGTGTGTTAAAGGTGCATTACAGGTGTGTTAAAGGTGCATTACAGGTGTATTACACATGTGTGTTTCAGGTGTGTTTACATGTGTGTTACAGGTGTGTTACATGTGTTTTACAGGTGTATTACAGGTGTGTTACATGTGTTTTACAGGTGTATTGTAGGTGTATTACATGTGTGTTACAGGTGTATTGTAGGTGTATTACAGTGTGTTACAGGTGTATTGTAGGTGTATTACAGGTGTGTTTATATGTGTGTTACAAGTGTATTGTAGCTGTATTACAGGTGTGTTTACAGGTGTATTGTAGGTGTATTACAGGTGTGTTACATGTGTGTTACAGGTGTATTGTAGGTGTATTACATGTGTGTTATAGGTGTATTGTAGGTGTATTACAGTGTGTTACAGGTGTATTGTAGGTGTATTACAGGTGTGTTTACATGTGTGTTACAAGTGTATTGTAGCTGTATTACAGGTGTGTTTACGTGTGTATTGCAGGTGTGTTACAGGTGTGTTTACGTGTGTATTGCAGGTGTGTTACAGGTGTGTTTACATGTGTATTGTAGGTGTATTACAGGTGTGTTAAAGGTGCATTACAGGTGTATTACACATCTGTGTTACAGGTGTGTTTACATGTGTGTTACAGGTGTGTTACATGTGTTTTACAGGTGTATTGTAGGTGTATTACATGTGTGTTACAGGTGTATTGTAGGTGTATTACAGGTGTGTTACAGGTGTATCGTAGGTGTATTACAGGCGTGAAAATGACATTTGGAATCCAGACTTAAAGCAGGTAAACTCCTGAGTCGGACTCAGAAACAGGAAGAGGATCAGAGTTTGTTCTGATGTGAGTCAGCGGTGTGTGATGTTGGTTCTGTGTGGTTGGAGAACGTTCCTGAGATAAATGAGTCAAACTGGGAATACCGGCTCAACCAGCCTTGTAGAGAAATTATTTTTTAGCTGTAAACGAAGGAATTCTGCTTCCGGATCAGACAGGTTGGTTCAAACAAGCTAGTGGTCGGCCGTTTCAGGTAGAGGGGACCAATAGAACCTCTAGAGTGGGTTTAGGACTCTGTTTCCATGACAGCATGCTCAGAGGCTCACTCACCAACCTTTCTGGTCCTGAGCTGAAGGAGGACCTGTAACTCCTTTCTGCTCCGTCTCCAGGTGACCTATCGGGTCGTCCAGCTGACAGAAGACCAGCTGGAAGGCACAGCGGACGGAGCTGGGGCCATCAGCGTTGTCTCTGCCGCAGCGTTTACTGGAGCTCCTCAGGCTGTAGCTCAGGTGAGTAGGTCAAAGGTCAGATGGGAGTTCTGACCCGGTCCTGATTGGGTTTTAGCTCTGAACTCCTCTACAGGCCGTGATCCAGAATCCTTTCAGTAATGGGAGCAGTCCAGGCGTGGAGGCCGTCGGAGGAGAATCACGTTTTGCTTATTTTCCCGCCGTCAGCGATGGAACGGCGGTGTCGGTGCAGGCCGCCGCCGACCCCACCCTCACTCAGGCTGGAGGTGAGGACCCTTCAGCTGGAGGACATGTGGTGCCACCTCCTGCTTCTGACCTTCTGTTTGACTGAATCCAGGTCAGTTTTATGTGATGATGAGTCCCCCTGAGGTGCTGCAGACAACAACGAGCCCCCGGACCATCGCGCCGCGGACTCAGACCTTCACAACGTCAGTACGACGAGTGTATTCTGCAGTGGCGGGTCGCTGTGGAGCGCCTTTTGTAAAGTCAAACAGTAACAATTTAACAGCAATATTTCTGGTTATTTAACCGATCATAAGAGAAAAAATGGGATTTGGTTTTTCAGTCATATTTTCATCATTATTCATACATTTAGTTAGAAAACTAAATATTTGATTTAGAGTTAAATATGTGGGTCAGACCTCGTCGTCTTCCTCCGCTTATCCGGGTCCGGGTCGTGGGGGCAGCATCCCAACCAGGGAGCTCCAGACCGTCCTCTCCCCGGCCACCTCCACCAGCTCCTCCGGCAGGACCCCAAGGCGTTCCCGGACCAGATTGGAGATGTAACCTCTCCAACGTGTCCTGGGTCGACCCGGGGGCCTCCTGCCGGCAGGACATGCCCGAAACACCTCCCCAGGGAGGCGTCCAGGAGGCATCCTGACCAGATGCCCAAACCACCTCAACTGACTCCTTTCGATCCGGAGGAGCAGCGGTTCTACTCACAGTCCCTCCCGAATGTCCGAGCTCCTCACCCTATCTCTAAGGCTGACCTCGGCCACCCTACGAAGGAAACTCATTTGGGCTGCTTGTATCCGCGATCTCGTTCTTTTGGTCATTACCCAAAGCTCATGACCATAGGTGAGGATTGGGACGTAGATCGACCGGTAAATCGAGAGCCTGGCTTTCTGGCTCAGCTCCCTCTTCCCCACGACAGATCGGCTCAGCGTCCGCATCACTGCAGACGCCGAACCAATCCGCCTGTCGATCTCCCGATCCCTCCTACCCTCACTCGTGAATAGGGATGGGTACCGAATTCGGTACTTTTTAAGGTACCGACCAAATTCCATAGTACCGACTGAGCACCGATTCACGTCATTTGAAACGGTGCCTCGTTTCGGTACCCGTCCTTCATAACGAGAACTTGCCTAGACAGCTGCGCATGCGCAAGAGCGTTATGTCGTCGGTCGCTGCGAGCGAGTTGTAAACAGAGCAGCACGGTAGAAAGAACGCACGTTAACGCTTGGGTCCACTTCACTAAATGTGATGGGTAACTGGGTGATGATGAAACCAGCGACAACGATCTAAGTGAGACATCCTCATCTTAATCTGCTCCGGTAGGTAAATAAAATGTTTAAGATAGCGTTAGCTTAATATGTTAACTTCCGTTCCACTAATGGTGCGTTCACTTTCTCCTCTGAACTCAGAATTCCCGACTAGAAGAACATGAACGCGCTCTAAAGTTTGGCTTCACTTTACTAAATGCGACGGGTGATCGGGTGAAGATGAAACCAGCGACAACGATCTAAGTGTGAGGCATCATCGTTTTAATCTGCTCCAGCAGCTAAATAAACTGTTTAAGATAACGTTAGCTTGATATGTTAGCTTCCATTGCCACCATTCTTATCAGCTAATGGTGCGTTCGCTTTCTCCTCGGAAATTCTAACTTCCCAGTAGGAAAAATCAAATGTAAAAGGACGGCAAAAGGAATGAAGATACACAGTAAATTTAGTTCACAGTAAAGATGTTTGCTTCAGTTTAATTATCAGCTTATAAAACTACAAGGACGATGTTAAAATACAAACAGTTGTATGTTATTTATCGTGATATTTATCAAATATTGTTATATATTGAGAAAAATATATATTTAATTATAAAAGAGAATTAAAATAATGAACACTCAGATGTATCTAAAATTGGTACCGTCAAGTACCGGTATCGATTCCTAGGTACCGGGAATTAGTACCGGATACATGAGTCCTGGAGCGTCCCCCACAGGGCGGCCCTGGGGACACGGTCACAAGCCTTCTCCAAATCCACAAAACACGTGTGGATTGGTTGGGCAAACTCCCATGCCCCCTCCATCACCCTTGCAAGGGTGTAGAGCTGGTCCACAGTTCCACGGCCAGGACGAAGACCACCTTGCTCCTCCTCAATCTGAGATTCAACTATCGATCGGACCCTCCTCTCTAGTACTTGGAGTAGACCTTTCCAGGGAGGCCGAGGAGTGTGATCCCCCTATAGTTAGAACACACCCTCAGGTCACCCTTCTTATAGGTCAGACCCAAATACTTATTATTTAACTCCAAAATAAAAAGATATTTACTCTAAAGTCATTTAGATCCCAGCTAAATATTTATTTTTGGGCTAAACCTAAATATTGGTTTCAAAAACAAAAAATGTTACTGGGATCTAAATATTTATTTTGAACATAAATATTTAACTTGGAGATTAACATTTAGTTTGTAAAATAATTAAATCCAAATTAAATTATATGTTATTAATTATTAATTTTATAAATAACCAACAAATATTATTAAATAAATGATAACTTTTTGACTTTCCAAGTGGAACCCCATAGTTTCTGGCTGAAGTTGATTGGTTTTTAAATGTTCGTTGTTGTTTTTCCAGGAAGGTGGAAGGTTCCCGAGCTCCGAGAGACGAGCGGCGAAGAGCTCAGCACAACGAAGGTCTGACCATAAATCAACGTTTCATTTGCCTTCTTCATAAAAACCATACAGAATAAATATAAATGTAATAAAATACAAATAAAAATGTCATTGATATAAACAAATCTGATAATCTGATAATAAAACTTTAATTCAATCAATTTAATTATAAGAAATTCATATAAATGCAATATGATGAATGGTAAACGTAATAAATGTAATCATTAAACTTTAATATCTAATAAAATGTACCAAAAATACTGAATAGGTATTATATCAAAGTAAAAATACATTTTAAATATTTAATAAACCTTGTGATTAGTATTAATTATAGATTTAGTCTTTTAAATGCATTCATAGATAAAATTATTATATCAGGGTTGATAATAATATCTAAATAATACAGAAACAAATTTCATAATAAAATTATTTACCTTTAAAATATATACATATAAATACTCAGTAACTGATTCTAAAACTAAATGTTGTGTTTAGTTTTTATTCTTTCATAAGAAGATAAAGCTCCGCCCCTTTTGTGAAGAACCTCTAAAACTTCTTATTCCGTCCTCGGCTGATTTGATTCGGGTGAAGATGGAACTTCAGAGCTTCTGATGACAAAATAAAGCGTTAAATAAAACCTTCATTAAATAGCTGATTAATGTGTTTATTTGTTTGTTTGTTTATCTGCAGTGGAGAGAAGAAGAAGAGATAAGATCAACAACTGGATCGTCACGCTCTCGAAGCTGATCCCGGACTGCAGCGTGGACACCAGAACCGGAGCGGTGAGGCGTGCTCGTGAACCTCTGATGTGTTGGGTCGTTCCAGAACCACCGGCCGGGTTAAAAACGCCTCCGCGGTTCTGATCGGTGGAGGAATCGTCTCTGGATGAACCACTTCCTGTTTAGATGTTTAAAAGGAGCCGCCCACCTCTGAAGCAACCAATTAGATCACAGCCAGAGGACCGGGATGTAGAACGTTACCGCAGGAGTTTAGTCGTTAACAGAATGTTCCCATCTGTGTGTTTTCCAGAGTAAAGGAGGAATTCTGTCCAAAGCCTGCGACTACATCCGAGAGCTTCGCCAGAAGAACCAGCATCTGCAGGACAGTTACAAAGAGGTGGAGCGGGTGGAGATGGAGAACGAGCTGCTCCGACAACAGGTCCGCCTCCTTGGTACCGGTACTGGCCGATATCAAGAGCCCCCCCCCCCCCCCTTCCTAAAAAAAAACGTTTATTTATTAAATCCTAGAAGGAAAATAATCTGCAGGAAAGATCTGTTAGCGCTTAGCGACGGTGCGTTCACGGACCAAAAGAAGAGTCCGATTTTTATTATCCGTGATGCATAGAAATGGTGCGTTCATGAACTGTGTAACAAACCAGATTTCTGAGTTTCTTTATGTGATCACTAATGAATCCACCCTTGTCGGCTGATTCCCATCACCTCCTGAGACATTACCCAGCATCCTTAGCGTCTCTGAGCCAATAGGAGCTCCGCGTCGTCCAAGAGTGTAAGCCTTTCTAGTTTTGGTTCTGTTCTCAGATGCCAGGTTCTGGTGTCTGTTCTGGGACCGGGCTCATGTTCTGGTCCGGAGCGGGTCTGCCTTCCTGCGAGGATTAAACTCTAATAATCGTTTTGTGTCGTTTCAGATCGAGGAGTTGAAGAACGAAAACGCGCTGCTCCAGGTGAAGCTGCAGCAACACGGCGTGGAGGTCACCGGAGACGAAACGCCGCAGTGACCTTTGGACCCGTTCAGCACCACGGACACGTTCTGATCTTTCTCACCTCCAGAGTCACAGCGGAACCGGAAAGACTTTCCCACCCGGACCCGTTATCCGACCGCCTCCACCTGCTCACGACGCCGACACGTCGCTTCAAATCACCGACCTGACAAAGAAAACCTCCAGCTTTTATCGCGCCGTCTTCCTTTTTATTTCTGTTTACGTGAAAGTCTGAACTTCCAGCCTGTCTTTAAGTTATATGTGTGCGGACAGAACCGGAACCAGAACCAGGAGCAAGAGATCATGGTGAGCAGCCTGGACGCTTGGATGGAGCCTGTCAAAACGTTTCTGAACGTGAGCCGCTGCGAGGAGACGCAAACGGAGGTCTAGTTTTCAGATGAAAGCCTTAATAGAAGCTGGTGTGTGTGTGTGTGTGTGTGTGTGTGTGTGGGGGGGGGGGGTCTAGTGCAGACACTGATCACATAAAGGAGACTTTCAGATTAAGAGTCTGCTGAACATTAAACCACAAACTGACTGGATTTTAGCGGGCGGCGCTTCAGCTGGTGATGCTCACGTTAACCAGCTTTTATTTTGAAAGTCCTTACAGCATGCAGGTCTGACCACTGGCATGACTAATCCTGATCCAATAAAACATATTTATACCCGAGTCCGGCTGATTTCTCAGGAATTCTGGAGGTTTCCTCTGGGAACGTGCAGAAACAGTTTTCCGTAGTAGAACGTTCGTGATCTCTGGATAAAATGATAATTCCTGCCAGCAGGCAAAAGTCCTCTGTAGGGAAATCACTTATTCATTCATTCATTTGTTGTTTGACTTGATTTTATGATTTAAAGGCTGAAAGAAGCAGGAGAGACTTCCTGCAGAATCCTGATGGCATCATCATAAATGACTGTGAGATCCCAGCTGCAGGACCAGGGTTGGTTCTATGAAGTTTGACCCTGCCGGCTTCCCATAAATCATTAACTGGTTTCCGTTTGTCTCGTTGCCTGGAGACGGTTCCAATAGCCGTTGCTATAGAAACCACAACAGAACGGACCGGCAGCTCAGAGATCCGGTGAGTAAAAAAGAACTAAAAGTTCTGACTTCGTTGACGTTTCTGGCTAGTTCAGCCCCGTTTCCGCCGGAAACAGAAACTTTGAAGGTGGTGAGAAGCCGGAAGTGAGCTAACCAAACCGAAACTCTGTTCACGGCAGTAAATCAGCTTTATGAGGCTCCGGTTTCATAACTTACACAAAATCAACATTTTGTAGAATTCAAACAGATAAAAAGGTAAATCAAATAAGAGAGGTAGTGTCATGGTAATCAGATTACTGCTGAGGTACCTTTGAGGATTAGTAGTGTAACCATGGGATCTGGTGTATGGAGTAACGAGAGTGCCAAAAATGAATAAACCTGTCAAAGAAAAGGACTTGGAGAGAATTTGTTTATCTACGGGTCCAATCCTAAAACTCCATCCGGAGGCTTTGAGGAGGAATGTTTTCCTTTAACCAGTGATCGAAGCCATGAAACGGTTAAAACTCGGCTAACCATAAGCCGGTTAACTACATCCCTAGTGTGTTTGATCCTGATGTTTCCTTTTGACTGATCCCAGACTGACAGTTCCCAGATGTCGGCCGTCGGTGGGAAGCCCAGTGTGAGGCACAGCGTGTCCGCGTGGCACGACAACAACCATCAGCTGTTCGCCACCGCGCAACACGAGCGAAAGGTCTCCAGCGCCATCCGACAGGAGGGTCGCTCGCTCCGCAGCGAGACCAGCAGCAGGGTGCGTATGGAGCCCCGATGGTGCTGGCACGTCACAAATAAACATGTTTGTTGTCTCTGACTGAACAATCTGCTCTTATTTTACTTATTTATCTTTGAAACTTCAGACGCACCAATGGTCTGACAAAAGCGGAATTAACAGAATAATCCAAAAAAATCACATTTGCTTTGTCATGTTTAAAACGTTGATTCAGTCATAAGTTTTGTTCCTCTTTATTAACCATTAGCATGTGGTATTCGCCCTCACCGCAGCAGAGACTGCTCTTATTCGTGTTTTTAACAATATTTTGCTTGTCTCTGATTCTGGTTCTCATGTGTTGTTGGTGCTTTTAGACTCATCTGCCGCCTTTGACACTGTCGACCACGCAATCCTACTACAGCGACTGGGGCAGTTAATTGGCATTCGTGGAACAGCTTTAGAGTGGTTTCGCTCCTATTTCAGTGGCAGATGTTTTAATGTTGCCCTGGGGAACTGCGCCTCTAGAGTGGCACCTCTTTTTTGTGGGGTTCCCCAGGGGTCCGTTTTAGGTCCGCTTCTTTTTAATCTATATATTTTACCCTTGGCAGCCATTTTTTAGAAAATTCTGGGTGAATTTTCATCTCTAACCTGACGATTGTCAGCTTTATGTGGCCCTAAAATCTGCTGACCCCGTGCGACCCTGACTGCCTGCCTGAGTGAAGTCAGGTCCTGGCTCTCGGCTAATTGTCTCCATCTTAACAGCTCCAAACTGGAGGCTATTCTCTTTGCCCCCTGCTCCCCCTCTGCTGTGGAGCCATCTCTGCCCCCGTCATTGTCAGTTTTGGTGAAGTCGACAATTACAAATTTGGGGGTCACTCTGGACGCTTTTTAAAAAATGGATGCACAGATAAGTCAGGTCATGTTTCTTTCATCTTCGCCAGCTGGCCAAACTAAAATCTGTCCTGAACAAAAAAGATCTTCAGTCAGTTGTTCATGCTTTTGTAACATCACGTCTGGACTATGCCAACTGTCTCTTATATGGTATTCCCTCCTCTTCAGTGGTACGCTTCCAACTGGTGCAGAAAGCTGCCGCAAGGTTTCTTACGGGCATAGACCGACGGCAGCATATCGCCCCTGTTTTGGCAAATTTACACTGGCTTCCAGTTCGGTTTCGTATTAAGTTCAAAATTCTCCTGTTGGTTTACAAATCTATCCATGAAATGGCCCCCTCCTGTTTGGCACATCTTTTGAGTCCCTATGTTCCAGTGAGAACCCTGACCAGCACCTTCTGCTCATCCCTCCTGCCCGCTATATGGCCCGTGGTGAACGGGCTTTTTCAGTTTGTGCGCCTAAACTTTGGAACCAGCTCCCCCTGATGCTCCGACTTGCCCCCTCCCTTCCCACTTTTAAAGAACGTTTGAAGACATATTTCTATTCCCTGGCCTTCCCGGCTGAGAATGTTTAACCCTTGTGCTTTCCGGTTTATTTATTTATTTATTTTTTACTAGTTTTTATTTGTTTGATCTATTTTGGCGATGTATTAACATGTACAGCTCTTTGGTTGGCGTTGTTGCCGTTTAGATGTGCTTTATAAATAAAGGTTGACGACGATGCTGATGATATCAGGACCCGTTTTCCCTTCTCTGAGTTTGATTCTTCACTTCAGCATTTCGCTAACAAATAAGAACTGAGGAGAAGCCATGTTTGTTTCTGGATAGACGGCGTGGGATGAGAGCGACACGTCTCGCCGACTCAGCGAGCGGGTTTGGGACGTGGCTCGGTGGAAGGACGTGTTGGAGAGATGTGCTCAGAAGGTGGACGAGGAAATGGAAGCTCTGACGCTGGTGAGTCAGCAGGAGGTCTTCCTTGCTGCTGAGGCTCTGCCCGCTGGGCCTTTCCACCGGACGCGTAAGCGTTGCGTCTTCAGCGGTAAAGCGGATGGGTGCGTTTCCCATGGCTGTATGGCGGCGTGTCGTGGAAGCGTCCCAGAAGTGTTGGGTCTACACTTCCAGAACGAGTCTAACTCAGCAGCTCAGATTGGGCCAGACAGGAAGTCCAACACAACAGCAGAGTTAAACATCTGGAAACTTTCAAAATAAAATTCCCGAGCAGACTTTACTAGTTCTAGTAAAAGTAAAGTTGTTTGTTTCCCGTGGCGCCTCTGCATTCGAGGCAACCAGACCTTTTGGGATATTGAATGAAATCGCGTGTGGTTCTGCAATTCTCTCGTGACTCTGTGACCGTGTGGGACTAGCTGCGTGAAACGCTCCACTCCCGGTTCGCATCTGAAACGCTCCCGGTGGGAAGCAGCTTGCTGGTAAAAACGCGTCTGTTACGCCGTACGCGCCGCTTACGTGTCCAGTGGAACAGCCGGGTCATGGGGGTGCTGTGATGCGGTTCTGTTGGCCCAGTCCAAAGAGCAGACCGAGATGGTTCTGGCCGCCACCGCCGTACCCTTGGAGGTGAGCTCTGAGTGCCTGACGCTGAGGGAGGGCCGGCAGGGCCCCGAGCTGGTCCACGACCCGGTGGAGGAGCAGCTGAAGAAGGAGGTGGAGCTGATTGAAGGAGTCCAGCGACGTCTGCAGCAGAACATCCATCAGGTCTTCGAGCAGCTCTGGTGGGTTCTGTTCAGGTTCTAACAGGACCACCATCTTCTTGCTCCAGTCTGACTGTTGGTTCTCTTCACAGCATTCTGCAAGAGATTCGACACCAGCTGACCTCTGACCTCCAGAACAAGATGGATGCTCTGGATATTGACATGTCCTGCCTGTCGCTCAACATCAAGTCACCTGACATCTCTCTGAAGACAAACCCGACCCGGATACCGCCAGGGTAAGGTCAGGGTCGGGGGTCTCCAATCTGTGGCTCTGGGGCCACGTGTGGTTCTGTTCTGTTTCCATAACAATGCAGGCACCAGGCCGGGATGTGTGGGAGCGTCGATCAACAGGAAGAAGTGTAAAAGTCCTGTTAACGTTTCTTATGAATGTCCTGTAGCTTCCTGTCACGTCCCGCCAGAATAAAATAACATAACAGGCGGTTTACTCAAATGTCTTTGATCTTTCAGCTAATCTCTTGCTGTCGCTCCCAAGTTGATCTGGTTTATCTCCTTGTTTATTCCTTGTTTATCTCCTTGTTTATTCCTGGTTTATCTCCTTGTTTATTCCTGGTTTATCTCCTTGTTTATCTCCAGGTTTACCTCCTTGTTTATCTCCAGGTTTACCTCCTTGTTTATCTCCAGGTTTACCTCCTTTTTTATCTCCAGGTTTATCTCATTGTTTATCTCCAGGTTTATCTCCTTGTTTATTCCTGGTTTATCTCCTTGTTTATTCCTGGTTTATCTCCTTGTTTATTCCTGGTTTATCTCCTTGTTTATTCCTGGTTTACCTCCTTGTTTATCTCCAGGTTTATCTCATTGTTTATCTCCAGGTTTATCTCCTTGTTTATCTCCTGGTTTACCTCCTTGTTTATCTCCTGGTTTACCTCCTTGTTTATCTCCTTGTTTATTTCCTGGTTCATCTCCTTGTTTATTCCTGGTTTATCTCCTGGTTTACCTCCTTGTTTATCTCCAGGTTTATTTCCTTGTTTATCTCCAGGTTTACCTCCTTGTTTATTTCCTGGTTCATCTCCTTGTTTATTCCTGGTTTATCTCCTGGTTTACCTCCTTGTTTATCTCCAGGTTTATTTCCTTGTTTATCTCCAGGTTTACCTCCTTGTTTATTTCCTGGTTCATCTCCTTGTTTATTCCTGGTTTATCTCCTGGTTTACCTCCTTGTTTATCTCCAGGTTTACCTCCTTTTTTATCTCCAGGTTTACCTCCTTGTTTATCTCCAGGTTTATCTCCTTGTTTATCTCCTGGTTTACCTCCTTGTTTATCTCCTTGTTTATTTCCTGGTTCATCTCCTTGTTTATCTCCAGGTTTACCTCCTTGTTTATATCCAGGTTTATCTCCTTGTTTATCTCCTGGTTTACCTCCTTGTTTATCTCCTTGTTTATTTCCTGGTTCATCTCCTTGTTTATTCCTGGTTTACCTCCTTGTTTATCTCCTGGTTTATCTTCTGGTTTATCTCCTGGTTTACCTGCTTGTTTATCTCCAGGTTTATTTCCTTGTTTACCTCCTGGTTCATCTCCTGGTTTATCTTCTGGTTTATCTCCTGGTTTACCTCCTTGTTTATCTCCTGGTTTATTTCCTTGTTTATCTCCTGGTTTACCTCCTTGTTTATCTCCTGCTTTACCTCCTTGTTTATCTCCTGGTTCCAAAGCGATTCCTCTGAAAACATCCCGGAGATCTGCCTGTTTGTGGCAGATGGCTGTAAAAACAGAAGCTGGCAGGTTTTTTTTATTATGACTCGAGAACAATCCAGTCAGACCTAAACACCTTCAGCACCTCACCTAAATAAAGACTAAGAGATTTTAAGGTCATCAGTGACACAAATTACAAAACTTTATGTTTCATTTACCTCAAACTGAGCTGCTTCTTTTACTCTGGAGAACTGAAACGTACCCATTAACCTTCATGAGAATCTGTTTATTCCACGTGTTTATCTAAAAGGAGAGATGAAACTTTATAAACGGTTTTATTTTGAAAGGATCTAACAGCTTCCTGCTGTTAGATGACGATTTACTGTGATTAAAGGTGTGGCTCACTGAAAAACCACGCTTTAATGATTATGTCTGATTCTAACGGGTCACTCTGAGGCTGAACATTAAAATAGTCACCTACACTTAGCTCCTGCATTAGCTTCTGATAGAAAATAGTCTCCTACACTTAGCTCCTGCATTAGCTTCTGATAGAAAATAGTCTCCTACACTTAGCTCCTGCATCAGCTTCTGATAGAAAATAGTCTCCTACACTTAGCTCCTGCATTAGCTTCTGATAGAAAATAGACGGTGAAACTCTAGGATTAGAAAATCCTGACAGATCTACGTCACCCTGTCACTAACATTCATGGACTCACCCATTTGACTCATGACAGTGAAGACTGTTGTTGGGTTAGTCCAGGAAACAGCAGAGAACGTCTCAGCTAGTAGAAGCTAACCGTTAGCATTAGCGACTCCACCTCACAGCAGAACTCCTCCAGGCGTTGCAGAGCAACCAGAGTCAGTGGTAGAGTCGTGTTGCTGTTAGCCAATCAGAGGAGAGGTGATCACATATCAGGAAATGAGATTCCAGATCCTTCCGTTGGAAGCTACTTTCTCCTCCAGCTGAACGTTCGGTGCTGAAACGGGCACTTCCTTCACCAGCGACCACTGCAGATGTGTGGATGAAACCGGTGTTCAGCACCTTTAAACGTTGTTGTTGCAGTTCCTCCACCCCCCAGGAGTGGGTGCAGTTCAGCCACTTTAACGTGGCGCGAGCGCACGAGGCCATGCAGGCGTCTCAGCGCATGAGGGAGGACACGAGTCTGGCTGCAGCTCAGGTGAGAAAAGATGAACTGAACTTTAGTTTGACCCTTTTCCCAGAGGAGGCCACGCCGACGCCCTCAAACACAAATCAGACGAGTTGAAGTCATTTGGTTTAACCATCTGATGAAATCTGTTTGCAGATGAACAACGAGCTGGAGACCCAACGCAGAGCCACAGAGTTTGCGCTCCGTAAGCGGACCCACCAGCAGGAGCAGGCCCGAGACCAGCTGCTGTGGCAGATAAAGAACGTGTGTTTGTTTCCTTAATGACGCACCTGCTTGTTCTTCACAACCTTCATTCCTGCGTTTCTGACTCAGACTGAAGAGGAGATGACGTACATGGAGACTGACATCCGTGGTCTGGATGCAGACCTGCAGGCCAAGGCGGCCTCCCTGAAGCTGGCTCACACCCGGCTGGAGAGCAGAACCCGGCGCCCCGGTGTGGACCTGTGCAGGGACCAGGTCTGTGGTCATGACAGAGGTCTCAGTAGACCGACAGAAACCGAGACCCGTTTCTTTCTGCTGGGTTTCAGGTGCAGCACGGACTCGTAGCTGAAGTCCAGCAGCTGGAGACCACCATCCAGACCCTGAAGCAGAAGCTCTCTGAAGCTCAGTGAGTCCGACCCGTTTGATGAAGAGTTCTTTGTTTTGCTTTGACTCTCGTGGAGGCGGATTCTGGAGTTTGGCTCCTAACCAGCTGGTGATCCGGGTTTGATGTAGCTGTTCTGGGTGTTTCTGAGGGAATGTTTTTCTCAGGAGTTCCTAACACCAAATCCCTCCATACTGCTCTTCTTCCAGACTCTCTCTGCAGAAGATGAAGCTCCACCACAGCCGCATGCTGCAGGATCTCTCCAGGAAACAGGAAGCGCTTTCCCTGGAGCAGCGAAGCTCCAACACCCGGGCCCGCCTCAGACCGACCCCCAGCACCGATAAAACCCCGGTACCGCTGGTCCCACTCGCAAACTCCAGTGGGAGGAGCAACCTGCAGCCCATGGCTCAGTGAGGAGGGAAAAGCCTCCAAACGGGAATCCCCTTTAGGCCGGTGTCCGATACCGGCAGGACCGATATCCGCCTTTTCTCTGTGCATCCCTAATAAAAACTTCCTTTATTCGTTCATTTCTTATGTGGTTAAATGCTGATAAATAATAATATCAGGACTTGGATCCTCCACCAGAGGGCAGGAGACATAACACCATTTTTAAATGTAGCGCTTTTAGGGAAGGAGCAAACCCCGTAGAAGAGGTAGACCCCCCCCCCCAGCAGGTGACCCGCCTCACCGCTGATGGACCACTCAGGTCTGGATTTCACTCATCAGGTGGTTTTTGTTCAGGAAACGAGAGATTAGATCAGAAGTACCAAAGCAGTCTGGGTCTCCGAGGTCAGCGGCGGAAACGTTTTTGTACGGAAAGCCAACAGGGTCATCATCCTTGTGCTGTTAAACACCCTCTGATCCATGAAAATTTTCACCAGTTTCCTTATAAAGAAGCGTTCTACGTTTGTTTCTCTGGCCTGTTTTACCGAAGTGTGAACGGTTCAAAGGTCAGAGGTCAAACATGTTCCTCTGAAACGGTCAGCTGAGAGGACGCTTTTTGAGCCAGTTCAAACTACGGCTACGGAGTTGTGTTTTCTTTTCTGGAGGAGAACCAGGAAGCAGGAGCAGAGCAGTGCTTCTAACTGAGCCTCCTTTGGTTGAAGACCCGTTGGAGCGCGAACAGAACCAGAACAGGCAGCGTTAACGGGTCGAGCTGGTCAGAGCGCTTCTGGGCCCAAACATCTCCTGATTGAACTGCTTTTGTGGAAAAAACATTTCTTGGAATCCCAGATTTCTTCCAGAAGTCATTTATCTTCTGCTTCATTTCTCCCAAAGCCTCCACACCGCCGCGCCTCCTCCACCTCCACCTCCTCCACTCCGACTCTTTCTGCACCATAAAACGGCCACAAACACGCCTCTCGTTCCCAGAGCCAGGCCAGGCACGTTTACGACCTTCCTGCCGAGCCCTCCGGTCCACTCAGACAGCACGCGCTTCCTGATCGCTCCAATTATTCTGAATCATTTCACTTAAGGACCCAGATGCTACCTGTCTGCTGCCCGGGGCTGAGAGGGTGATTAGGGCCGGCCGCTGATGGATAAATGCTCCATACTTCTGCCTGACTGGCTGCGCCTCCTTATCTGTCATGATGTCGTGTGCACCTCGCCCCCAGCGCGCCCCCTTCGTGGCCAACGCCTCCTTTTTTTGTTTTGCTACCTGTTTCAGAGGCTGGGTCTGCGCCTGAGAGGAGACACGATGGAGGGAGAAAGCAGCTCTGAAGCAGAAAACCTTCAGAACGTGACTAGAACCGACAGCAGGACAGGCATCCAGGTGGTTTCCTGCTTCTAAACCCCGGTCATGGTGAACCGGGGTCCTCGCCCTTCAGCCAGCTTGACTAAGGAGATGGAGCTGACGGTCACGGACTGCGTCGCCCTGTCTGTCTACACCTTCACCTTCCTGCTCGGGCTTCCTGCCAACCTGTTCGTCCTCTTCGTTTACGTCCGCAAGGCTCGCAAACACGGTGCCACACCCAATGTGGTCTACGCCCTCAACCTGTGCTTGGCCAACCTGGTGCTCGTGGCCTGGCTGCCCGTGAAGGTCTCGGAGACGGTGCTGAATGTCTGGACGCTGCCGCCGCTCGTCTGCCCCGTCTTCAGCTTCTTTCTCTACTCCTCGCTGTACGGCAGCTGCCTCTTCATCACCGCCGTCACGGTGGGCCGCTACCTCAGCATCGCCTTTCCCATTATCTACAAGAGGTACCGCCGTGCCCAGCTGTCCTGCTTCATCTGTGTGGCCCTGTGGGCGGTGGTGATGCTGCACCTTAGCGTTAGCCTAGTGGCTGAGGGCGGGGCCTATTTTGTCGGTGTTAAGGATGACGCCTCTGCTTGTTACGACCATTTCAACAGGTCTCAGCTGGACGTCCTGCTGCCTCTGCGTCTGGAGATGGCCATCGTTTTGTTCATGCTGCCTCTGATCGTGACGTCTTTTTGCACGCTACGGTGCGTAACGTTGGTGTGGCGCTCAAATCTGCCCCCTGTGGGTAAGAGGAGAGTCCTGGCCGTGGCGCTGTCCACGCTGGCCGTGTTTGTGATCTGCTACGCGCCCTACAATGCCTCACACGTTGTGGGCTTCCTGCAGGACGACAACGTGGAATGGAGGAGTCTGGCGATGCTGACCAGCTCCTGTAACGTCTTCCTGGAGCCCGTGGTCATGTTGATGCTTTCACCGGCCGTGTCCAAAGGCATTCTGGGAAGACTTTGCGGCCAGATGAGCCACTTCCGGAGGAGCAGTGGGTGTCGACACCAAGGTAAACCCATCAGTAAGTTCACCAACGTCAAGCTGCCGCCCACGCTGTCTGAGAGGAGCCAGGTGGGAGTAGAGGTGACGAAAGAGAGTCATGGGTGATAAGTCGTCAGCGTTCACCTGAGAAGAACCCGCGGCTGTGACGTCGCTCTTCATCGCTGACCAAACAGAAAAAGACCGCAGCATCTTTCTGGCAGGAAGTCCAGACCAGTCCCAGCTCGTTGTGTCAGGTGGATCTGGACCTGACTTTTTAGAAAAGCCTCCGGCTGGGTTTGACTTCACCTGAGCTCACCTGAGTCAGGTGATCAGTTTGGTGACAGATGGCTCCATCCTGCGTCCGCGGTAACAGATTTCAACAAAACAGATGATCAATTTTATTATTTGTTTCTTGATTGGTACAAAACCCACAAATTTCCCAAATATCTGACGCTCAGTTATTACAGGTTGGTCACTCATTAAATCAAAGTTGTGTTTTAGGTTTGTTCTCACTGCTAAATTATTCACCCAACCCTCCATCAGTGACTGGATTAGAGACGATTTCTACTGTCAAACCTGAAGAATCTGGTTTTATTTGCTCTGTGCCTTTTCTTTTTACTTCATCGCTCCTTAATAAATAAACTGAATGAAAACAGAAAATTATCTTTACTTTGAAAAGTTCTGATTAATTCTGTATGTTCTTTGAAAAACAAAATTCATCAAAACATGATCAAAATGTTTTTAATTTTTACATAATCTAGAATAATTATCTTTAGTTGCATTTGTCCAAATGAAACATGGCTGAATCAGTCAATATGCAGCTTTGCTAGTTATGATTATTTGTTGTTTTTATTTGAACAGTCAGGTGATCAAATCAGACAGCAGCTTCGGAAGTACACAAAGCATTATTACATAAAATAACTTAAAAGTTATATTCTTGGTATAAAGATTAAAACAAACCTATTAAAAGTTTAGCCTAAGCTACTGCTAATGTTAGCCAAAGTTTAGCCTATGCTTCTACTAATGTTAGCCTGAGTTTAGACTAAGCTACTACTATTGTTAACCTGAGTTTAGCCTAAGCTACTACTAATGTTAACCTGAGTTTAGCCTAAGCTACTAATAATGTTAGCCTGAGTTTAGACTAAGCTACTATTGTTGTTCACCTGAGTTTAGCCTACTAATGTTAGCCTGAGTTTAACCAAAGACACTGCTAATGTTAGTCCAAGTTTAGCCTAAGCTACTACTAATGTTAGCCTGAGTTTAGCCTAAGCTACTACTAATGTTAGCCCGAGTTTAGCCTAAGCTACTACTAATGTTAACCTGATTTTAACCAAAAACACTGCTAATGTTAGCCCGAGTTTAGCCTAAGCTACTACTAATGTTAGCTCGAGTTTAGCCTAAACTACTGCTAATGTTAACCTGAGTTTAGCCTAAGCTACTAATACCATTTGCCCATGCTATTGCTAAGAATAACCTAAGCTACTGCTAACACCTTTGTTGCCAAATACCAAATCAGATCTGGTTGAAAACTGGCGAGGGCCACATGGAGGAGGTCTAGCCTCAGTCTGAAGTGGAATTAGACCAATTTTTATTTTAATTCTGTAAAATCAGTGTTATCAAAAACATTACAAGCCGTTCAATTTTTACCTGTGAGGTCTTTAACCTGGAGTTCTTTTTAAATCAGAGCTGGTTGGAAAACTGGTGTTAACCAAGTGGAGGAGGTCTTGTATCAGCCTGAAGACACTATGGTCAGGCTAGTAGTCACTAGTAAGACACTAGTGTGGGGAGGGTGGCTGTTATGGGTCTGTATACCCCTCAGAAAGTTGCACCTCAACCCCTGACTCAAGCCTTTGTATAAATGAGTGTCTAATAGTTCTGAAGATGTGTGTGGTCACTATAAAACCCTCCTCAGGTCAGCTACAGAGAAACGTGACCAAAGCCCTGTACCAAAGAGGTGTAATAGAGTATCTCTGACACTGAATGCGACCGTTCCAGCACTGCTCCTGTTGACTGGTCTCGGTTTTCAAACAGGACTTGTGGGTGCAGCTGGACTCTGGGACTTCATATTTAGTCACGTTTTAGGTGATTTCATTTCATGTGGAAAAGCCAAAGAAGGAGCAGGGTAAGTAGACCTAAAGGATAACTTCCTCTTTTAAAGCTCTTTGTGTTGTTCTACTCAGAAATACACTAACCGGCCAAATAAAAAGGTCACACACTAATATTCTGTTGGACCATGTTAGCTTTGGCGTCGACACGCATTCGCTGTGGCGTTGTTTCGATAAGCTTCTGCAGCATCACCAGATTCATCTCCATCCAGTGTTGCATTAATGTTCCACCAAGATCTTACGCTGATGATGGTGAGTCTGACCGCTGCACAAAGCCTTCTCCAGCACATCCCAAAGATGGGGTTAAGGTCTGGACTCTGTGGTGGCCCATCCATGTGTGAAAATTATGACTCATGCTCCCTGAACCACTCACCATCTGACCCGATGAATCCTGGCATTGCCATCTTGGAATATGGCCGTGCCATCAGGGAACATGGAGCAACCTGGTCATTCAGGATATTCAGGTAGTCAGCTGACCTCATTCTTGGAGCACATCCTGTAGCTGAACCTAGACCTAACCACCTGCAGCAAGCCCAGATCATAGCCCTGCCCCCACAGGCTTGTGCAGTAGGCACTGGGCAGGATGGGTGCATCACTTCATCTGCCTCTCTTCTTACCCTGATGCACCATCACTCTGGACCAGAGTCCATCTGGACTCATCAGACCAGTTTTAATAAAGCGTTGGACTGCTCTGAACCCAGTTTCTGAATCTCCTTAGACGTTTTCTCTGCTTGATGCCGATGATCTGACCCTTCTCACACAGACTCACATCTTCTCCACCACCAGATGGGCCTTGCCACCTGGTGGTGTGAGAAAAGAGAAGCAGCTGGTTGGTGGCGTAAATAACTTGTTGCAGGCTCCAGGTGGAGACTTCTTTTGGCCGGGCAGTTTAAATGTTTCTGCCAAACAGCTACAACTGCTGCAGAAGTCATTTAGTGTTTCTGTGATTGGTAAAGATCCAACTCTGGAGCGTGTTTTGGTTGTGGGATGATGGAGGATGAAGATGCTGCAGTCAGATGGTACAGGTTGGACCTCCAGCGAGGACCAAAGTCTTCCTCCTCTCCGTTTCTCTCACATGAACACTTCTAAGTTGGCTTCTTGAAGACTTCTCCTCATCCGAGGACAAACTGCGTCACGCCTGCCCGTTGCTAGGAGACCATGTTTAGAGAACAGATTGCTTCCTGAAGATTATTACATTTCCGCTGTGGAAGCATATTAGTTGTGTGTTTGAGTTCTGATGCAACAGTCCGATTCCAGGAGCGGAGCAGCGCAGACGTCCTGATGAACGGGATGTTCGTTCCACCCTAACAGGTGAGTTCTTCAGACGCCTTGGCGGCTAAACCCGAACAGATCCGCTTTAGAGAGGGAAGCACCGATTCTGCTCTAGAGGGCCGATTTAAGACTCTTCGCTCAGACCCGCTGCTTCGTCTCAAACAGCTAAAGTGATGATCCAGCTTCCTGCTTTTGTTGGTTTCTGAGGTTTGGGTCAGAACAGAACCGGATGAAGAGTAAACTTTAAACGTTTATTTAAAATCGGAGACTCATTGGAGAGTTTGTCAGTTTCCTGGAGGAGTTTAGCAGGCGGAGGACAGACAGAGTCGATCTGGTTAAACCCGCTTCAGCTCCACGGAGAGAAATTCCTGTTTGGTATTCCCACTCGGATCTGGAAAACCGTGCTTCTTCCTTCATTAAACAAACTGGCTTCTGGATCTGCAGCTTTTATTTTGAAAGATATGAAGTCAAAACCGAGTCAGGCTGAAAAATAAAATCTGTTGCAGTTTTCACTTTTTACCGACGCTGGTGAGGAAAGATGGATTTACGGTTGTTTTGTTTCGCCAGCATGACGGCGTTGGCGGCCATCTTGAACGAGGCAGAGTGAGGGTTTCAGGTCTGACGTTGGTTTGTGTCTCCCGCAGCGCCTCGCACGAGTCTCCGGTCCGAGTGGCAGCCATGTTCTACAGCCACCTGCTGCTGGCGGTCTACATCCTCACATTCCTGATGGGGGTCCCGGCCAACATGCTGTCCTTCGTCACCTTCTGCAGGAAGGTGCGGCGCAAAGCGGCGCCGATCGACGTGCTGCTGCTGAACCTCACCATCTCTGACCTCATCTTCCTGGCCTTCCTGCCGTTTAAGATGAAGGAGGCCTACGACCACATGAACTGGCTGATGCCGTACGCGCTGTGCCCACTGACCGGGTTCCTGTTCTACGTCACCATCTACAACAGCACCTTGCTGCTGACGGCGGTGAGCGTGGAGCGCTACCTGGGCGTGGCCTTCCCCCTCAGGTACTCGGCGTGCCGCCGGCCCTGCTACGCCGTGTGGGCCTGCATCGCTTTCTGGGTGGTGACCTCCTCCAACCTGTGCTTCGTCTACATCCTGCCCTACGCCCAGTGGACCGGCGGAGGAAGCTTCTACAGCAGCAACGTCAGCGGCCCCTCCCCTCCCCCACCCACCTGCTACCTGAATTTCTCCGACGGAGAGCTCCAGATCCTGATGCCGATTCGCCTGGAGCTCTTCCTGGTGCTCTTCTGCATCCCCTTCATCATCAGCTGCTTCTGCTACGTCAACTTCATCCTCATCCTGTCCCGCCTCCCACACATCACCCGGCGCCGGCGGCTGCGTTGCATTGGTCTGGCGCTGGGGACGCTCATCGTGTTCACCGTCTGCTTCGGGCCGTACAACGTCTCCCACGTGGTGGGCTTCGCCTACATGGAGAGCCACGACTGGAGGAACCTGGCGCTGCTGTCCAGCACCCTGAACGCCTGTCTGGACCCGTTCATCTTCTACCTGTCGTCAGCGGCGGTCCGGAGCATGATGAACCGCTGCTTCAGGAGGGTCACGACCAAGATGCACATCCTCAGGTGCAGACGGGCCTCGCAGTCACCTCAGCACAAACTCCCCACCAGAGAAAACCACGAGGCAGACGCTCCGCCCTGAAGGCCGCAGCAGGTTCACACACATCCAGGACTTTAGGAGGATTCGGGTCAGATGAGGTTCTGGTGGTTCTGCTTCAGTCAAACGGCGTTCCAGGAGTCTCCTTAGGTCCACGTTGGTATTCGGTAACCAAACAGGAACCAGTAGGTGGTTACAGATGGGACTGTTTGGGTCAACTGGACCATTTAGGATCCGAGGAGCTTTTAAACCAGTGAGAACTTATTAATATTAGCTAGTTCTCCTGGTTCTCCACCTAGAACACCTGCAGAACCCGATGGACCAGAACATCAAGGTCCAAAACCACCTGCTGGTGTTTCATTAGAAAGTTGCTGCAACAGAAAATCTGCTAAACAAACTTAAAACAGTCCTTCGTGCCTCTCAACAACGTTCTGGCATCGTGTGGCTGAAACACGAATGACGTGGTTCTCTCACGGTTGTGTAGAAGCAGCACGTCTCTGCCCAAAACCAGCCATCCGGTGCCTCTTCCCTGGGAGAACACCACCGGAGTGAGAGGTTCTCCGCTCAGTAACACCAGAGGAGGAGAAACAGCCGGCTGCTACCGCTTCAGC